TTTAATTTGACTTTATCCTTGGGGCAGGAGTGTGTATGTCTGCAGCCCAAGCTGGTGAATGCAGAGAAAAGCAAATAGGAAGTAAAAAATGCAAGTGTGCAGTACTGCAATTTTCGCTTGCCTGGTGCATACGTTGAGTGATTTTCCCCTTTGCATGAATACTAGCTTGCACAAAATTCAAATAACTCAGCTGTCTACAGATGGGGGGTGGGGAGGAGTGTGGGAAGGAGAACAGACGGAAGGAAATGGAACTGAGAAGACTGAATTAACCTTTCGATGTCTTGAATTTCAAGAAGGGAAGAATTATCTCTTGTTAAGTCTGCAACCATGCAATTAAAATATGAACAAGCCTTAAAAGCCACATTTGACCCATATTCCTAGATTTCTACTTTAAAGACAGATCTTCTAAAACCAAGATTCAGATCCAAAAAAATGTTCAGAGGCAGGGAAAAAAAATTCTCATGCTGTAAATGTTTATTTTAATCACAGAACTCTAGTAGAAAAATGAGTAAAAATGTCTGACATTTACGCAGAACATGTGCCTTTGATACTGAATTCAGTTTTTAAAAATCCTTACATATGTGTCTAGTAATGGCTGACAGTCTTTGAAATGATGAATGGTTTTCTCTCGGCTGGAGTTTGTGTTTCTATAAAATAGATCCTTTAACCTGTTTGCTTGAGCATTGTGAAGCCTCATTTTTAATACAGGGCAAAGATTTAAAAATGAACTTTGCTTCTTAGGTGCCCTTTTGGACACCATGAGTTAGAACTACTGTATACTTGCTGATATGAGAGTTTCCATTGAGAGTTATGGATGTTCAGCAAGGCCAAGTGTCATGTTCTGGGCATCCTGAAACAAAACGTTTGTTAGAAAAGCTGGAAAAGAACAAAGTAAAGACTCAGCTTGGGGACATGTCTCTGTTTGTGGATGAAATACACAGGAAAGGAAAGCTCTTTGCAGAGCATCCAGCTGGAAAGGGTTTGCTAATTCTTCCTGGGTGTGAAAAGGACTCATGTTTATCAATATTTTTTGCAAGATATCAATAGGATCCACTTAAAGGCAAAAATTGAGCATTTCCATGTTCAGAAGAATGTATCAAATAATTTTTAGGTGAAAAATTAAGCCCAAAAGCAAACACCTTGCTGAATACAGATAATCTCCAGGAAAAACTGTTTGGCATATAATACACAGGTATTACATAGACAGTGTCTTGTTTTGCTACGTGTCACATTCCCATTTCCTCCTAGTAAGATCATATGAAGGTAAGGAATTGCATGGCAGGCTATCCACCTTCCAAGGATTCTATGGCTTTGCAAGGCTGATTTAAGTTTTGGAGTATTTTAGCTCAGTTTGTGTACAACAGTGAGCACAGTGGATAAGGATATTTTTCTTCAGTTTCTGATGAGGTGTAATGCAGGGCTCTTGCTGGAAGTAAACTTAATTGGAAGCTAAATTCTTCAGAGAATATTTATTTTAAAGCCATACTAGGTCATGAAGGAAACATGGCTCCAGTTCTTCTGTGACACATACAGGCAATAGTGGTCTGTGCTTATGAATGGTTTTTTTCTGAATACAAGGGAATTACACCAGTAATTATTTCAGATCTACTGAGTTATTTTGTAAGCACTTAGCAGTGAATCTCTGCAAAACTTATAAGCTGAGCACTTTAGCTGTAAGGACTTGTAGGGAAACACACTGAGTTGCAGAAATGGCTCTGGACATGGATTTACTGATGAGACAGGGATGCCATGGCACCCTGGCCCTTCAGCCCTAGAGCCAGATGCTGACCAGCTGCACCTGCCAAGCTCCTGGAGCTGTGCAGCAGTGGGGGAACGGGTCCTTTGCTCCTCAGCAGCCTGGCACAGGGGCTGTGTCACTGCACAGGGCAGTGCAGTGTCACACCTCCTGACATGGGGTGACTGCAGTGTCACATGCTGGGACTGCAGCCCTGCACAACCCCTGCTCTGAATGTGCCCCTGGGTTTGGAGTGGGAAACGAGGCTGTGGGAGCTCCACAGCCTGCACAGCACAGAGGGGGAGGAATGTGGAATGCTGCCTTCACACTTCAGGTGTGCCTGAGACAGTGCAAAATGCAGCGGGAACAGCGAATGGACACTGCTCTGTTGTGATGTTTAGGAGTGATCTGAGAGGCAGATGCTTTCAACAGCTGAATTTTGACAAGCAACCATGCAGCCACTCATCAAGTTGTTGCCTCTCTTCTCTCTGTATTTACTGTCTTAGAAAATGTGGCCAAAGCATCAGACAGAGACTAAGACTGTGAAAAGTCTCAAGGGAAAGTCTTACAAAGAGCAGATTAGCTCATGGCATTTGTTCAGCTCAGAGATGAAGAGACAGAGGGGGGCTCTCATCACACCCTGCAGCTTCCCTCAAAGGCAAGGAGAGATGCTGATCTTCTCTTTGATGACCAGTCACAGAACTTAAGGAAATGGAATCAAGTTGTGTCAGGGAAAAGTCGGGCTGGACATAAGGAAAAGGTTCTTCACTGAGAGGGTGTTTGGCCACTGGAAAAGACTCCTCAGGGAGCTGGTCACAGTGCCAAGTCTGCCAGAGTTCAAGGAGCATCTGGACAATGCTCTTAGCCACACGGCTTGGCTTTAGACAGTCCTGTGAGAAGCAGAGAGCTGGACTCCATCCTTATGGGCCCCTTCCAACTTGAGATATTCTATGACTCTCTGACTCCCGGGTTGTCCTCAACCTTTCAAGTAGACAGCAAGAACACAAAGTGAGCAGAAAAGCCTAAAATGGCAGCCTGGGACTGCATATGTCTGCCCCCTGCAAGGAGCCTTGGAAGCCTTTGAAAGGAGGTAGGATAAGCTGGCATGAAATGCTGTATCCAGAGCCAGTTCAGAGGAGAGAAACCACTGCCTTGGACTCAAAAGCAGCAGACAGGTGCTGTGCAGTGCCTGCCTACCTGCCTGCCTCTGCTCACCGCGTGTGCTTTCTGTGTCAGGTTTCTTGCAGCTCTACTCCTGTCAGCCGGCCAATGGATCTGCAGAAGAGCCAGCTGGAGTCCGCTCTCCCCCATGTTTCATCAACAAAATTGCCAGCTTGTTCTGATTCAGTATCTTTATTGTTGTTGATGAGGCTAAATGAATCAGAAAGAACACGGCTATGTATACAAAATACAAATTCAGAAACCTCATCCTGATGCGAGGAAATTTTATTAGTGCTTCAAGTGGAGAAGTCTGCTGTGGAAACAGAGAGCACACACAGACCATTTCCCCCGACCCTACACGTTTTATTGGGTTTGTGTGGTACCTCCTAATGACACCAAATCTTCCAGCAGGAAAAGAGAGTTTTAGATCTGATTAAACCCAAGTTAATTTACTGTGGGGTTGTGACTCTCCCTTCTTTGGATTCTGAATGCAAAACCTTTTAATGAGTCTTATAAATGTATCTCTAGATAAAATTCAGAATCCATGCTGGAAAACCTGAAAAATAATCCTCCCAGCTATTGAAAATACAGAGGTTTCAATTAATCCCATCCTGCTTGTATAATTTTTTCCCCCTTTCATATACTCTTTGTCAGTTTTTCACGGGGGGAAAAAAAAAAGCTTTTCCTGAGAGGATTTTTACTAACTAAATCCAAGTTTCCTTAAATGCCTTATTAAACCCACCACCTATGGCTGCTGGCACTGCATGACAGAAAAAGCTGTTGTAGTTTCAGCGTGGCATGTGGGAACCACAGACTGCCAGGCACTGGTTTTAACACTTCGGGTGTAAGCTTGCATCTCCTCTCTAACTTATGCTAACTCACTTTAAGGGTGCTAAATTTTGTGTTTCAAAATGCATTAGCTCATTGTCAAAGGGCACTTCATTACTTCTGGCGCGCTTACATTTGGGAAACGTTTGGCAGTGATTGCTCTTCATGCTTCAATCCAGAAGATTTACAGGAAATATTTTAATATGGTTATGAGAAAAGCAAAACTGGGATATCAGAATCAATTACGCCAAAAAAGACTTCTGAGGTTGTTGAGTCCAACCTATGTCGACCAGGCCATGGCACTGAGTGCTTTGCCCAGGTTCCTCTTAAACAGCTCCAGGGAGGATGACACCACCACCTCCCTGGACATTCCAATGTCTGATCATTCTTTCCATGAAGACATTTCTCCTCAAGTCCAACCCAAGCAGTAGGGTACGAGCCTGCATGGTGCCACTGCTGGCCGCGGTCACTCTCTGGGCACCTCAGGATGAGGAGAGTCTTAAACTGCACCAGAGTAGGTTTAGGTTGGACAGGAGGAATTTCTCCACGGAAAGGGCGATCAGACATCGGAACGGGCTGTGTTTAAGGAAAGTGTTTAAGGAAACACCGGACGCGGCACTCAGTGCCCGGCCGTGGTGGGCGCGGTGATGCTCGGTTCAAAGTTGGGCCCGATGAGCTCAGAGGTCTTCCCCAAGCTATTTGACTTTGTGACTCGGATCCCGCACAGGCCGATGCGGGCGGGTGGCCGAGCTACCCTGAGGGCGAGAACATGGGGAAAACGTTAATTTCGGGGCGACCCTCGCTCTCCCCCGGGCCAGCCGCCCGCGGCCGCCGCCGCCTCAGGGCGCGGGTCCCGCCCGCCCTCAGCGCCCGCCCCGCCCCGCGGCACGTGACCCCCGGGGGGAGGCGGGCGGGGGGCGCGCGCTCTGCACCTGTCAGTCAGCGCGTCACTTCCGCCCGTCGCCGCCGCTGCCGTCGGGGACCCCCCGCTCGCGGCTCGGAGCTCGGAGCGGCTGTGAGGGCACGGACGGCGACGGGTCCCGGCAGCGCGGCGGCCGCGGCACACGGCGCGGACAGCGGCCGGCGGAGGAGGGCTGCGAGGAGAGCGGAGCGGCCAGGAGAGGCCCGCGCCGGCCCCCGGGGTAGGAAGAGGCGGAGGAACCTGCTGGTGGTGCTGAGGACGGCGGGGAGGGCGAGTCACCCGGCAACGGTGAGGGGCGCGGGGCGCATGCGCGGGGGGTCGCGGCTCGGGCCGCTCGGTGTCACGTCAGGCTTCAGGAACCTTCTGGCACCGGCCCGAGCGGGGCGCGGGAACTTCCTCCTGCCGAGCCGCGAGCCGCGAGCTGTCAGGAGGCGGCAGCGTCTCCCCGGCTGGTGTCGGTGGGACCGCGCAGGCGGCGCCCACAGCCCGGCTCCCGCAGGAGTTGTGTGCCCCGGCTGCTCGCTCCTCGCCCGGGTGCCCCCTGGCAGGGCCTTGGCGCGGTGACAGCGCCGGCCTCGCCGCGCCCTGACAGCCCAGGTGGTCGCTGAAGTTGGAAGGAGGGCGGTCGCTAAGTCGCCTGCGGTCGCGAAGGCAGCGCTGGCGTTAGGAACGCTGGGTCATGGACGGAACGCGGCAGCCTGCCACCGAATGTATCGTCCGAGGGGTTTGCTGCTGTGGGTTTCCATTGTTCCTGCAAGGAGATTTGAATATTTCAGTGGGAATGTTTCTTGCTGTCAAAAAGTTGCTTTAACGTGAGATGGCCCAGTGTTGGGGTGCTCCTTCAAGGTTTGGGAAAAAACCGACAAAACCCAGCAACAAAAAACCTGCCATCACATACTGCAACGGCTGCTTTCAATGCACAGCTCTCTTATTCTCAGGTTCCTTGGGCTGGCTGCATCTTGAGAAATTTTTACAAAATTTCTTACTGCTGCCAGGCTCAAGCTGGGGAAAAGAGGTAACAGATGAAGAAAGTAAATACCGTGTAATAACTCTTGCCTGTTAAAAAAAAAAAAGAAAAAAGAAAGTGAATATATAAAAAACTACACAATTGTTTATTTCTTTTTTGGCATGAGTTCCTGAATGTCCTCAGGGATGGAATTGTTAGTTTGTGAATTTAGAACAAATTGTTAAACTGGATTAGCGTTTAGGTTTGAAGTTTTCCTGTCTTCCATGCAGTTTAATCTGCAGTATAAAAAGAATAGAAAGCTGTTTTGTTGGCCTATATTATAAGCAGTTTAGCTATTTTGTTTATTTTATTTCTTTTTTTTACTGCTCATAACTAGTAATTTGCTTTATGTTCTTTGTTGCATAGACTTAAAGATGTTTAGAATCTCTTTTAATCTTCTTTGTCTGTATTTTATACATTGTTTGGCTCCATAGGGATTCTTTCCTTGTCTCAACTATGTAACAATAAGGATTTAAATACCTCAATGTTTTGAAGGCATCAAACTGGAAATTTACAGTATTGTTTTAGAAAAATCGATCAAGTAGAGTGTCCCATGGTTACATTTAAGGAAGCTGACTCAGAGAAGCTCCTGGTAGCTTTTAATGCTTGCAGATTTTGACATGAACAACACCTCAGAAGGTCTGAGTTGGCAAATGATAGTTTTTATCTGCTCTGTGTTAGTTTGGGCACTTCATTTTTGTGTTGTTTGGAACACTGGAGGATCTTCTCAGACTCATTAAAAGACTTCATTTAACATTTGTCATGTGTGGCTCATACCCTGAGAGCCTGTGCAGGCAGTGAAGCATTGCTTTCTAATGTACATAATGGCATGTTTGCAAAAGCAGGTGAGGCTGGAGAAATATTCAGTGTGTTTGGAACAGACACCAGAAAGTTTTGAGTCCCTGCTTGCTGCATGGGCAGGCTTTATGGGGTAGGATTTTTTCCTTTTCTAGTACTCAGCCTTTTGATTTCTGGACAAATGCTGCAGCTGAGCAGCGATGCCCCTTTCCAGGGCTCATGGGAAAGTGAGAAAAACCCGCCAAGTCTGAGGTGATTTTTCTTTTAAAGTTTGGATTTTTATTTTTTTTTGTGTGTGGTGTTTCTCTTTTTTTCCCATCCCCCACAAAAGAAGCTGTAGCTACATAGAAGAGGAAGTGATGTCGGTGAGAGAATGCTTCAAGTTGTCCTTTAATTCCGTGCATAGCACCAGGTTAATGTCACTGCCATATTAGCACACAAAAATCCCGTGGCCATTTAGGTGGGAGTGAATTAACTACGTGCAGGGCAATTCATCGTTTGCATCTGAAGGATGGCAAGCTTTTTCAACTTTTTTCCTTGCATTGCAGGCCTAGTTGTATATTTATTGATCATTTCAGGTGGGAGGACTGTTATTTAAGAACTGAAAAGTAACATTTTATCCAAAACATGTGAGGAGGAGATACAGAAGTGAAGGAATATGAAATCTTCTGTGAAGGGCTATGCAAGAGGGAGATTGTTTCTTGTTGTGCAGTTTGTGAAGTGATGGCTCTATCAGTTTTTCAGCAGAGGGGCTCTATGTCTCTTGTAAAATTGGATTTAGGCAGAGAATACAAGAATTTTGCATTGCTCCCTGGAAAGTTAGTACAATTGAGCAATTCACTATTGATGACTATTATTTTCTGTAAGGTGAGAGATTTTACCTGCAAAAATTTTGTTTGAGAACGACTAGCTGTCTCAAGGCTTGGTAAATTCAGATTTATCTTCACAGTTTGTACTGGGTTGATAGGCAGCTGTTGAGATTTGTGGAAGTTCAGTCAGTTCAAGTGAATTCCACGGATTATTGCACCCTAAAACATAATGTATTTGTTACTGCATCTTCTACCAGGCTTTTTTTTTTTCTGTGCAGCTGCTTTGTTTTTAAGTCTTAGAAACATAGTTTAGAAGGTCAAAACCTGTTATGTTTGCAACATATGGGTGGAGTCATTCTCTACAAGAAATGGGTAATATTTTGCAGGCCCATAATCTGATTAGTGAAAATAGTTCTATTGTGATAAAAACAGTTCTACTCTTGTGGTCTTTCCCCTGTGAATGTGTGAAATCCTGTATATTTGTCTTAAGAAAAAAAGAAAAATGTGCCATTCGAGCTTAAAATAGAGATAGGGCTTTATGTTTGTGTTCAAACAGCTTGTAACAAAGACTGTGGTTGCAGAGGCTTTTTCTATAGAGAGGTTTAAATGGTTTTTATTTTCTTCACTGTTTGGACATTTCTAAGGACATTTGGGTGGGGCATCTGCTGGATCTGAGCCCTGGATCTGGTGGGAACCCTGCACTGATTGTCCAGGTTCCAGTGCCGCTGGCAGCTCTCTCATGTGTCTCCTCTGTTCACTGTTCCCTGCAGTGTGCTAGGATTCAGATTTGTGCTCAGCTGTGTAGGATAATAATACATGGACAGAACTGAAAAGGTGAGAGCTGGAATCTTACCAATGTGGTTCTTTCTTCCTTTTTCCCTTTTTTTAAGTGTGTGTGTTTGAAATGGTTTCTCCCCTTTCTGCTGAACTTTACATTTAATGAAATCTTTTGTTGTCTTGGCACTCTAGAAATATAATCAGGTTAGTTAATTTTAGTCTGCAGTGTAACTCTTAACCTTAGGATTTCTGATGATTTCTTCAAATTTAGTCATAATCAAGTTTTGATGGCTGACCTCAGTAGCAGACCTTTTTTTTTTTCCCCATCTCTTGAAATTCAGAGAATCATTGCTGCAGCACTGAACTCTTCATTGAAATGTCTTTCTCCTGCAGTGGGGATGCTGAGCCTGTCCTTTATTTTGGTGGCACATGCTCAAGGCTCTGACAGGCAGTGTTTCAGTAGTGAAGGGGCTGTGAACCATTTTGTGATCTGCTGAGTTCCAGTGTGCATTTCTGCTGACCTGTTTGGGAGGGGAGGAACAAACTGATGATAAATATATGTAATAGGATAACTTATGTATAATGAATTAAGTGCATTATATATTTATAGTTTGCTTTTTTGGTGTCTCTGAGATAGCTTGGCTTCTGTTCCAAAGTCTGTTTTAAGAGCAGTGACAATTGTTAAAGTGCTTTGGTTTTATAACGTGAAGCTCACAAGTTGCATAGTTTTGCTGATAATTTCTTCCTGTCTGTTACTTTACTGTACTTTTATAATGCCATGCAAGGTTCTGCATTATCTGATGCAGGGGCAGTGAGATGTGTGTGGTTGGTGGAGTAGAGCTTTGCATTGGGGGGTGGCAAGTAGGATGAATATAATTAGCTGTTACACAAGATACAAAAGCCTTTTTATTTATTAACTACTGTTGTTAAGAGTGTGATGGGATCTGTGTGAGCAGGAAGTTTCTTTAGAATTCTGCACATGTGCATTGGCAGCAGCAGATGAGAGCAAATCTGGCAGTGTGTGGTGGTGGGTGTGAGGCTCTGAGCAAACATCTACTTTTTCTGGTATTGCTGATGGTTTTATTTTCTTGCTACAATGTAGTTGGAGGATTATCAGTTGCTGTAATGCTGTTAAAAAGCCTTTGGATTTTATCTAGTAAGTGAATATAAAACGTTATTTTTGCTTATCAAAACCAGCTAACATTTTGATGATCTCTCAGCTTGTTCTTTAAAAGTATAGGATTTTTTTTTGGAATGTTGCTTAAATCAGTCACTTAATTGAGGTTTTTCTAATAGGATCTATCTCTCGTGAAGGTCCATGAACAATGGGCTTTTTCAGAATGTGATCAGGTTCTGTCAACTGAAATTGTAGACTAAACTTTAATGGAAAATAAATACTAATCAGTATTATGGTTTCTTGGCTTGTAAATAAATTTTAAAACCCCCACAAATCCAAAATTCTATTAGTTTTAGTTATATCTCTTCCAGAGGAGTTTTCATGGGGTGTTTTGTTTCTTTCTTGCATGGAAACAACATAAAGGCTTAATTTAAATTGTTCTAATTCGTAAATTAGAAGGCTTGCTGCCACATTCCCAGGGAACAAAAATTGCGTTAGAATTGCATTCCGCTAAGTCTTATGTTGTATTTTTTGTGCTTCTACTTGCTGTGTCAGTATAACCAGTACTTTGTCAGTTGAGTGGTTTTGAGACTATCTCAGAAGTGCTGGTGGCAAACGATGGAGAATTTCTGCTTAATAGCATTGAGGTTTAATGTGTGTGAATGCACATGTGAAGGCACACACAGGCAAACAGTTCATTAATTAAAGAGCTGGTGTTCATGCTTGTTCCCTCCTTTTGTGATTGTGTGCAAAACTGCAGTGGGCTGGTTTCCTTCTGGTTCCTACTTAAGCAGAAAGCAACCAGGGCAGTGAAGAGCTGGGAGCCATAATGAGAAACGAAGGGAGCAGGAAAGTCACATCTGCTTGAGAAGAGATTTACTCTAACATGGATTCCTTCAACACTGCAAGTTAAATTTTGTAGTTATACCTAATTTCAAACAGTATGCCTTAATGGGGATGGGGATTGTGTTCTTAAGAAAACCACAAATTTAAATTTATTAATTTAAAATAATAACTGAGCCAAATTTTCTGATTTGCCAGTCTAGACTTGTGACTAAAATACCTCTTGATAGCTGATTTCACTGAGCCAGAAAGAGGAAATCTTGCTTTAAGAGTCTATTTTAAGCTAATCTTGCTGGGTTTAAAACTTTTATTTTAAATAATTATTGTTTTGGCTACTCAAATGCATTAATGAATACTTAAATGTGATTATTCTTTTTACATGGAGGATGTTGTGAGTCTGTTCAAGCACTGGCACATCTCTGCGTGCATTTTACTGTACTCTTGAGACAAATTTATCCTTTTCTGTGTCCTGGGTTTGTGGTAGAGCTCTGTTTGTGGGATTAATTTCAGTTTGTCTTTTGTATAAATTTACTCCAAGCCATGTCCCCTCCCCAGCCTGGCCATCTTTTCAATTTTGACTGGATTATTTCAAACAAGCAAAATACTCTGTTTTTACTTGTTAGCTGAACAAAAGCTGAAAATCAGATGAGGAAAAGCTCTTTTGCCCAAAAGCACTTCATCCATTGGGAATGCTCACAGTAATTTGAGTATAAAAATCAGCCAGTGTTAATTGTTACGGTTCTGACATAACATTACAAAAAAACCATTTCCTTTTAACTCAACAAAAGTGCAGAGTAAGATCAGGAGTGCTGGTTGCCGTTTTTGGAGGCAGAAGTCAGTGTAGCTCAGCAGTGGCTCTGTGCTCTCGGTGACTCGGGAGTTTCCCAGGGAAGGCTCCTGCCCCTGCCCTCGCCTGGCAGTGCTCTGGCTGATGTCATGAGGGGAGTTCCTGTGATTCCAGCTTGGAATCTGGCCATCATTTAGAAATTCTTCTTAGAAAATCTGTTTAAAATTTGGTAGTTTCAAACTTATCAAAAAAATCAGTTCTTTATTTGGATTTAACAGTATGTTTGCTGTAGGCATCCAGGGGGAGGGACATCACAGGTTTTGTCTAGCTGTAAGTCATAATACATTATTTTTCTTCATCAAATATAGAGGAAGAAATCAAAAACTTTGAGACTCTAACATTTTTGTGGAATTTTATTTGTAAATAATTATTGCAGACAAGGAGCCTTGATCTCTTTGTGCTGGAGGATGTGTATGTGACCTGTGAGGACCCGCTTTGCAGGCATGGGATGGTTCACAGGGTCACAGCACTGCGGGCTGAAAAAGCCAAAAAACTTGAGGTGTGTTTCCTGCGAAGCTGGGACAGGTCATTTTGTTGCTTTTTTCCCTATCTAAAAATCTTTGTTAGTTTTTACTTTTATGTATTAAAAAAATTTTAAAAAATCACTGGCGATGCTTGTTAATGTCACATAAAAATCTTTGTTAGTTTTTACTTTTATGTATTCAAAAGAAAATAGTCACTGGTGATGTTTGCTAATGTCACGAAATAATATATTAAAAAGAGAGCAAAACAGCAGTCATGTTAGCTTTGGGTTTGTTTCAGAGACAACACGAATTTCTTGCTACATAAAACAAGCAAATAAAAGAATTGCTTAAATAGTTGAGACTTGTGGCAGACATTCTACACGCAGAATTAATGTTTTCATTCCTATGGCACAGTTTCAGTTTGCAGCCTTTCTTTGTTTATTTTTACTTGTTGCTTCATCCTTTGTTGTAAGGAAAGGTGGTGGAACCCTGAGGACTTTAATTTAAAATGATGCCCATATATTATTTGTACTTCAGTCATTAATGTAAAAGCTGAACTAAATGTAAGTCTAAATTTTCATGTGTATTCCTCAAATATTAACAGTTAGCCATGTATTCTGTGGGGTTTTCAGTGGCATTTCATGTGTGGGTGTAAATACTTCTCCAGTTGCCAAGATAAGTGAATGCTATTATGATGGCAAAATGAAGCTCATGGTGCTCTTTTCCCAGCAGACTCTATGAAAAACTTGCCTTAATAGAAAAAAGCAAACCAAAATTTTTTAAATGATGCCAGAGAGCACTGAAATCCACAATACAAAACAAAACTCTGTGTTTTGCCCTCATTTAAGGTGCTTGGGCTCAACATGTTGCAAAGGACATAGGAAGTTTTTTTCAGTCTCTTGTAAAATTGTGGTGTAATATGTGGTTATAATAAGGTGTATTTTTACTTTCCTGCGTTTATGTTTTGTAGAGCATGATTGTAGCTTAAGGATGTTTTTAAATGTTTGTAGTAACAAGGAGGGGAAGTAGATTGAAAAAAATGCAACCAGAATGTTTATAATTAAACTCAAGCTAGGTAGTGTGGGGTTTTTTTTTTTAGTTGCTATTTTTTGTCTTTTTCTTGATAGAACTTGTGAAGCATTGAGGTTATGAAATTGTGAAGGGAAAGTGTGTGCTCCAAAGGATCAGGATAATGTGGGCAAAAGTAGAAGGAGTTGACTGAGTGGGTTAGCTCCTATTTCCTCGATTGTATTAATAAAAAAGTATTAAAGAACTCCACAGCATTGCTTAGAATTTGTAAAAGGCTCTGGAAATAATCCTGAAGGTTACGTGTCCTGTCCCAGTTCTCCTGTGTGTCTGCAGTGACGTGCTGCACTTCCTGAGTCACGGGAGGGCAAGGGGGAAGCTTCTGATCCATATAAGAAGTGAAGATAAAATGTTTAATAATTAACAGTTTTTTACAATGGTGGAAATAGCAGGAAGTAAAACTTGCTCAAAGCTGAATAACTTCCAGACTTTCTAGCTCTTTCTAGATTTTGTAAATGTCAGATTAATTGTATCACAGCCTGTAAGGATACCAAACCTGAACTGAAAGGGAAAAGACTGAAATGCTCTGAAAATGGATTGTCATAAGGATAAGGATATATTGAAATGTGTGTCAAAGTGTGTATGTGTCTGAGAAGGTGAAAATGAGGCTTTCACTAATTTTTCTAGGTGATAATAAGCCATATAAAGCTTTCTTCAAAGTATAAACCTGGGTTGTAAATCTGGTTTTGCTCTAACAATGAGACAACCAGGCTATTTCAACTTCATTCTTACCTTTCCAAGCCAGTTGAAATAGAAGTCTGTATTTTTTTTTCTTTTTTTCATGCCTCTTGAATGAAATTAATATTCAAGCAGCCTGTTCATCCACCTGGCAAAAGTGGCTGAGCTTTCATGTCAGTGACCTGAGCACAAAGTTGCCTCTGCTGAGCAAGCTGGGCTGCAAGATTGTTCATTTGGTGCAGAATTATAAAGAAGTGGTTAGTTCTAATTTGGTCTTTTTATTGGGTGATGTTTGTTTTGAAGGTTTGTTTGTTGTGTTTAGCAAGTCAGCCTGAAGCATTGTGGCAGATCCATCAAAGCTTTTCTCCCAGCTGCCCTTAACCCCACAGCTGGCCAGGGTGAGGTTTTGTGCTTCATTGTGGACAAGCTGACTTTGGTAGAGCTTGAGAAAATACAGTGTGCAACTTCATATCTTAAATTTTGCTTCATATATTTGGATTGATAGAAATCTACTTACATGCAAAGACGTTGACTTTTGCTTAAAATACCAGAACAATAAGAAAAATGGCTGTACAAGGCCTCCATTAATTGTAGGGGGGTCATGAATTGCAGCTGCATCATTGTTGGAATCTGGTAGAATCTTTTAGTAACCAAGAACTGATAATAACAGATTTGAATATGATAGGGTAAAAAAAAAAAAGTAAAACCCATTGACTAGGGTATAACCCTTCATTTTCTGTTGTCAGCTCACCTGGAGTCCTGATCTCAGACCAGGATTCACTTGTGTGAGACTTAACAGGTTTACAACCTGTGTGTAATACAAGGCAATAGACAATTTAAACACTTTTAAGCCTGAAATATTTTTTCCTCTAGGCCTCAATGCAATAAAATGCTGAGGATGTAGAAGCAGTCTTCCATAGAGCTTATGACCAACTCCCTTAGCACATGGATGCAGTTTGGGGAGGGTTGGGAGCAGGAGAATTGCTTTATTCAAACTACTGGGAGTACTCTGGGCTCCTGTTGTGATAGGCTAATGAATGGTCTGGCATTTTGGTACTGAAAGCTGAGGGCTTGGTTGTCAGGAATTTGCAAGTGAAGATAAAGTTTATTTGTCCTGATGTGGAACAGAAGCAGGAGCTGGTGTGGGAGAACAAAGGGAGGGAAGGTACTTGTCTCCAGGCTGTCATATCAATCTCCAGTTATGAAACAAAAGGTTTCAGTGAATTTGTTGAAGCTGTGGAAAGCCTCTTTATTGTCTAGTTTTGGTGATGAGTGTTGTGGTTATGTGTGTGTCACAAGCTTGTTTTTCCCAATCACAGTTGCTTGAGTTTATTTAGAGCAGGTACTGGGGCTGATGAGACCCTTTGGCTGATTCTGGGCATTACATTGGCTCCACTGTGCCATGAAGCTGCAATTTTAATTTTTAATACCACAAAAAATCATAAAGCTGGTTTACTGTGGTTTGTAGCTATTTTGAGAGCTGAGAGCATAAAAAATGTCCAGATAATCTGGATTCTAAATAAAAGGTGGCAAAAATGTGGGTGGTTCTGTGGAATCTGCCATGGGGGAAGTTGCTTCCTGTATCCAGACCTGATGATCACTTGGACTTTGAACTGGCAGTAAGGACACGTAGTCAGCTTCCAGGAGAAGATGATCAGTACCATCAAAACCTGGTTGACTGTAAAGATTCCTTAGTTAGGATTTTGGTTTTGGTCTTGCTGTTTAAAGATATTGAATTAGACCAGTGCCTGAGATCCTTCTAAAAATTTCATAGCCATTAAATATTTTAGTGTGGTAGGTACTTTAAAACAGTTTGTGTAACCTACTTAGCCCTCCTTGATTCTTTGGAAGAGGATTGAATGAGTCTGCAAATTATTTCATAATTGTTAAGACTTAGATGTCCTATGCTAACTTTCACTTCAGATTTGGTTAGCTCATAAGTGAAAAGAGGGATTTGCTGTTTTAGGGGCTCTCTCATAAGCTGTGCTAATGTGGGCTTTATGTTTTCTCTTGTTCAGAGCAAGAAACTGATGATTTGACAAGAATTCCTCTAACGTGATGTTTGGATTCCTGACTGAGATTAAAACTGTTGAAAACTTTATGATCTAATAATATTTTCCTTATTTTCAGATTAACTGCTGAAGTACTGATCGAGTTCTGCTATTCTTCAATGAGGAACTACAGGCTGATCTTTTGCCATAATCTTAAACAACCATAAATGACAAAAGAATGCTTGGTCAGTGAGGGCAGCTGGCGCAGAAAGCGTTTTTCAAACTCGGCTGTTTAAGTACTCTGAGGTGAGTTTCTTAACTTGTTTTGCTGGGGTGGAATAAAAAAGAAAAGCAAGTGTGAATTTCAGAATGTCTAATCTATTAGAATTTACCTCTTGGTAAACAGAGAATTTTAGTTTGGCTGCAGTGCTTTGACTAACAGCATATACTTTGTGTTCTGTGTGCCAACTTCTGTCAAAGTGACTGCTTGCATTTAAGCAAGTATGTTTTCTTTTCTTTTTATTATTTGTTTTGAAAGGACAGTTTTTTCATTCCTAGAAGAAATATTTTGGTTTTGACAGGATTACAGCCTGACTGACTTACACTGCCCTTTGTTATCTATCTAGATCCTATATCAAGCAAAGACTTGCAACTGAAGCTCGAGCTTCTGCATGATAGAATGGTATCACTGAGCATCTAAAAACTAGCTTTGGGGGTTTTCTGTTCAGAAAAAATTTTAATTTGATGCAGGTGTTGAAATCTTTATTATGTGGACCAGAAAATGCCAAGTATATTTTAAAATTGTTACAGTGCAGTTGTGTATCACAAAATACTTAATAATTTAATATGATTGAAACTTAGAGTTTTGGTTTGGTGTGGTCCACTGGTTTCATTTCCTGTTAAGAGGCTTTTTAGCCTGGCTGCTAAATACTGTCAGAAAAAGTACTGAGGAATCCACCAAAATACCTTAGAACTTAATTAGAAATGTGGTAACTAGAATTTTCTGCATTTTTCTTGCTGCTGTATATGTTCTTCCCAGTCCTCTGTTGAGGGTTGGACAGAACACCTCAGTGATAGGTGCTTATTGAATAGGCTGTGTTTGGAGTCATTACAGAACTGTCCATTAAAGCAGTGCATGGATGGAGACAGACTAAGGAGTATTTGTATTAGGTAATTAAAACACTTTGTGTTACAGATTAATGTTTTCAAAACCATACATTGAAGTGGGCCTTTTGGTTTTAATTTCTTCTATTGACAGAAAAGACAGCTTTGATTTTTGGCTGCAAAAAGATATGAGGAAGAGCTCCTCCCCTTCCTTGAGTAACTGCAACTCTGTTCTTGCTAACAAAATATTTGGAATTCCACTTGATGAGCTGCAGCAAGAAGGGCAACCAGACAATGAGGTTCCATTCATAGTCCGCCATGTCGTGGACTATATTGAGGAACATGGTATGTATCAGCTTGCTGTGTTTAAAATAACATATTTCACTGTTATTCTTGCAAATGGATTGTGGGGTTTGTAGAGTACTTGTTTTCTGAAGTTAATTATTCAACTGGATGCAAATTTGATTGTTTTGGGTTACTTCCTTTCTTTGCTCCTTCTGTTATGTGTATCACTTTTCTAGCCAACGGTAATGTAGTCAGCTCTGCAGGGCACCTCATAGGAAATGCTGTGGTTTAGGTACTGCTAACATTGCCCGTGTTATTTTTTTGTTACTGGGCACAAGGAATTGTGTGTTGGGAAGAGAACTGCTGGAAGTTGTGCAAAACTGTCGTCCAGAAAATGTTTCAGTCAGTGTGGGAATTGTGCATAGCTGATTATCACTATTTTTTTCAATATATTTGTCCATACCAGAGCTAAAAGTTTATTGCTGTATTTTTTTTTCCGACTCAGGGGGTCTGGAACAAGAAGGACTTTTCCAAGTCAATGGGAATGCTGAGACAGTGGAGTGGCTCCGGCAACGATATGACAATGGAGAGGATGTGGACCTGGTTAAAGAAGCAGATGTACCCTCAGCTATTAGCCTTCTTAGATTTTTTCTTCAAGAACTTCCAGAGCCAGTTATTCCAGGCAGTTTGCACATACATTTGATGCAACTTTCTCAAGGTAATAACTCTTTTTGATTCAGTATTTTTATTTGATGATTTTAGGAGTAAAACCCAGTATTATATTGAGATTTGTACTGGCACTAAGGTGTCTTAGGTGCTCTGTGTAATAATAATAATAATGATAGCATTGCTGTGCACTTTGGCTGCAATGGTATCTATTCCAGGACTGGAAATGGGACTGAAGTATATTCACTTGGTGTGACAGCAGAATTCCCATCTATGACTATAAAATCTAGTGTGAACATAGTTTTTTTCCTCCCGTCTTTGAATAGATCACTGGGGATAGGTTTACACATGGATTGTTTCTAGCATGCAAGTCCCGCTTTAGTTACCTTTTGTCCACTGTGTAGAGACACTTCACTTAAACTTGCAGCTTATTGTCTTTACTGTCTTTTTTAAAGCGTAAAAGTTATTTCAGAAAAATTTAAAGTTCTCTGTAACAAGGAAATCAAACCACATAAACCTGAAACATTGTTTTCAGATGCTGAAATGAGACTTTTGATTTTCTGTAACTGGGTTTTGCCTGTCTGATAGACATATCTCAGTCAGTTTTCAGAAATACATCATCAGCTGCATATGAGGCAGAGGAAGTGCTTAAAGACCTGCAGAAGGTGCTAGTAATTGTTGATCCATGTGTTAGTTCTGTTTTTCTCCTCTTCAGCAATTCTTCCACATCATTAGGTCAGGTTTAGTTCTCAGGATACCTTCATTGCACAGCAGGGTGTGGCCTGTGTGCATCGTTAGGAGCTCGTTGCAGGCAGGTGGTTCCTCTAGGACAGGTGATTAGGCTAATTGGGGTGTGAATGTGGCCGTGTCCCACAAGGTGTATCCCTGCCTTAGTACCAGAGCACTTCAGTTAGGGGTAAGAACATTCTGCTTTTGGGTCTCTGGTTGTTTAGAACTTAAGTTTCAGGAGGAATTGGTTAGACAGAACATGGAGATGTGTTTGTTCAGAGTGGTCTGATTATCACCTTGCTGTGGTCCCTTTCTTACAAAAGTCTACATTGTTAAAGTACTTTTTAAAGTATTTTTTTTCTGTTCTGTTTCCAAAGTGCATTTCTAGAGTAAGAACTGTCAATGAAATGTTAATTTTAATGTGTTATGTGTTTAGACAACCATTTTCTGCGCTTGGTTGCCTGTATTCAGCTGCTGTAGGTGTTGTCTGTGTCTGAGCAAAGGAAATCCTGCAGATCCTGCTTGGTGCTCCTGTACATGCTCAGCAGGGAATTTACTCACTCTTTACTTTGTAGATATTAAGGACTAGGATGTCTCTGCTCTCTCATCTAGAGAGGGAGAGATGGTTCATCATCCTCAAATGTGCTTTTCCCTCTCTAACTGATCTTAGAAGAGTTTTCAAGTGTCTGAGAAAGAAAGGGAGGCCTCTTTGTATCAATTTTTCTCCCATTTTGCTTTCCTGACATTTCCTATATATGAAATTTCTCAGTTAGGTACAAACAGCTGTAATTCTTTGAACCTTGCTGCCTGTAAGGCTGATGAGGTAACAAATAAGATTTATGGGGACATATTTTGATGAAGAGTGTAGTTAAACAGGGTGAGAATGAGGAGATTTTATGGTGACCCTTTCTCAGATCTGAAATTGAATCAGCAGGCTTTAAGCTAAGCACATGTGAAGATGATTCCATTGAGATAGCTTGGATTTATCAGTTAAGTATTATAAAAGCAGGTAGAGTGGTGAGAAGGGGATGCTTGTAAAGGAAAAGGTGTCAAAGCAGCTTGTGTGCCAGAAGAATGTAAGTAGATGGCAGTTAACTCTGCCTGGAGCTGTTGCTGTCTCTAGGGCTCTTCTGTGGAGCCGTTGTTATGTAACAACGGTAAAACAAAAACATACAGAGTTTGCCCTCTGAAATCAGGAATTTGAGTGGGCATTAATGGGGAAAACGTGCAGAAGAGAATGTGGTGGATAATAATGAACAAATGCAAGCAAGTTTTCACATTTTAGCTTGCTGTTTGATCAGTTGTTTTTTCAGAAGTTTCAGAGGCAACAAGCTGATCACTATCAAATAGGAAAAGATACCTTTTTTGTAACTAAAATATTTGTATTGCTTTTTCAGATTATAATAATGAAGATGAATTTGGAAGAAAGTTGAGGTTCCTCTTGCAGCAGCTTCCACCTGTTAATTACAGTTTGTTAAAGTTTCTGTGTAAATTTTTAGCTAATGTAGCATCACATCATGAAGAAATTTGGTCAGCAAGTTCTTTAGCTGCAGTCTTTGGCCCGGATGTTTTTCAGTAAGTTAATTAAAAAAGTTAATTCACTGTTTCTGTGGGAATTTGAGTGTCTCTCTGTAGCTTGAAGTCATTCCTGGTCCCTGAGCAACAATAACAAAGTGCACAATGTGTTTCAAGCAGAATCCTTTTCTGTTCCCACCCACTCTCTCACCCCAGTTTGGTTTTGCAATTTTTCTAAGATTTAAACATCAGGTTTTCTCTGAGCTGTGGTATGAGAAACCACTGTTTTGATTGTTGCATTACTGTATTTATTCTGAGGTTCAAATGTTTTAGTGATAGTATGTAAGGCTACTATTTGTAGCAAGAAAACAGTTCTGGGAGGAGGCTGGTAAAGTACCAGCTTATACTGTTGTTTCCTCTCCCCAGGAAAATATTTAACTTTGAAATACTCCTCATGAAAATTTAATTGACTAGATAGTTGCTAATCTATGATTTTAAAATATAAAATAGTATAAAGCTTTATAAGGCAGTAGTGTAAAGACATGCTTAAAGTTGTGTGTGTTCAGAATGGGCAGGGGATAATGGTGTCGAGTGTAGCACTTAGTCATTCAGAGGTGTTCTTTGGGGAAATGTTGCATTTGGATCTTTAAACTAAAGCAGTGTTGAAATTTTTAGCATTTACACAGATGTGGAGGATCTGAAAGAACAGGAAATAGTTAGCAGAATAATGGCGGGACTTCTGGAGAACTACTATGAGTTTTTTGAAAATGAAGAGGAAGATTTTTCATCTACTAATGATTTAAGCTCAATAACTGAGCAGGTAAGACTATTTTGAATGGCTATATGTTATTACTTAACAGTCAGTTATACACTTTTATGTTTATGAAAGCTTTATTGAAATACATGTTCTTTAGTATGATTTAGAAGTTTCCTGCAAACTGACGAAACCTGGCATTTTCTTAATGCTTGTGAAATTCTTGATTCTATAGTAAGTGTAGCTGTACTATATTGAAAAATCTATAGGAGCTAAACCAACAGTGAAATTATGCCCAACACAGACACTGTTATAAAGCTTTCTAATTACCAGTTTAGGAATAAAGAACTGTTTTTGATCAAATGAAGAGCAACTCTGTTGGTCTTGGTCAAGAGTGTTTCTAGGTGTGTCTTACAGGAACATGCAGGGTCTTGCACTCCACTTGATGATGTTATCAGTGGTGCTTTCCTGTGCCAAAGTTTTTGAATGGTGTTTCGGATTCTAAAACTTGAAAATGATGTATTTTATGTAAAGAGGAAAGGAGAAAAATAAGCAGTTGCTAAGGTAGGTAACAAAGAGTGCTGAATTTTACAGCCTATCGCACAAACCCCTCCTCTAGCAAGACAGGTAAGGCAAGCACTGGGGCACTTGGCTGCTTCCTCTTCCCTGCAGTAGGTGTTGGTCTGGTGTGCCAGGCTGGGCAGCAGGTTCTGGAGTGAGCAGTGTCTGCTGTGAGAGCTCCTGGAGCAAACACTGCCACTCTGCAAAGCTCCGTGCAGGGATCTGGCACTGGGAGCTGCCACAGCCCTGCTACATGAGGGAGCTGCTGAACAAAGCTGGGCTCTGACTGCTGCAGCTGGAGGCTGTCACTGACTTGGGAGAAGTGCTCTGTAAAGCAGAGCTGCTCTGTGCTCTTATGCTTTGAAATGACTGGCTTGGCTGTGCCTTGTTATATGTTTCAGCAAAAGGGTTTCCTAAGTACAGAATCTGTTTGGTGTGTGGTTTTGTTTGTTTTTTCCCTTAGTTGGAGGGCTGGTGGGGTGTCCCTTTAATTTCGTGGTGTCTCCAGCAGATGTCAACAGTGCACTTCTGTCAGAAGAGACGCTGTCCCTGCAGGGCACAGCCCCGCTGGCAGCTGCCCCAGCGTGTGGGTGGGCTTGCCTTTGCTTCACTGGCACATCCTCTTGCAATTACAGAGCAAAATCAGGGATAAATACATTTCTTGCCTGGAATGTGGTGCCATATAACACGTTACACCCCTTTTAAAAACTAACAAATATCTTCTCTCTGTCTTCTGTGTAATTTTAAACTTCTGAAGTTTCAGTTTTTCTTAATTTAGTGTTTTTGTTTTACACTGGTGACAGATTTTATAAAACATGTTTTCTTGAGACTGTTGCTTTAATTTTTGGGTTCGCAAGATTGGGAGATCAGTAATCAGTCACAGAGTCACCTTGAGAGTGAAATGGAATCACTTTTTTCTCTTTGCCTTTTTGTGTTTTAGACATAGTTGCTTTTTAAAAAATGAAGTTTCTGCTGTCTTGAGTTACCACTTGGCTATATTGTTTTACTTTTTAAATTGGCCATATTTTGCTGCTTCAGTAAAAACATCTGTGTTTGGAAACAAAGAAACAAAAATAGACAAGAGCACAGAAACTTTGTAAATGTTCTTTCTGAGCTTTGAAGTTTGGGTTTGTAGACTTCTGTATTGTCTTCACTAGGGGGGTTTGAAAATGCTTCTGATACATGAATAAGGCTATCTGTGGAATAGAGGAGAATTATCAGTTTTAGACATAGAAGAAGAAAGGCTGTGTAGTTCATTGTTTCAGTGTGGTTGGGATTTTATTGTTTTCTCATTCTGCTTCTGTTCATTTATGGCATCAGAGGTGCTTCGTGCTTTTCACTTTTTGTCCAGCATTCAAGAGCAGCTTTTTAATGGTGTATCATTTACAGTTTTATGTAAAAGCAAGTCTAGTGTGCCTGTTTTTTACTAAAATTAAAAAGTATTCTCCTTCTTCATGTTACTTCCATACCTTTCATGCTTTTTTAATTCCCTGGACCTCTTGAAAGGAACTTTTCAATCCCTTAACTTTGATTAAATGTTTTGTAGATCAATGATCTCTTGGAAGAAGAGGAAGATGTAAAGCTTGAGCAGTCAGAAGAACTTCCAGAAGACAGCACAGAGAAACCTGTTGAAAGTCCAGCTGTGGTGCATCTAGATATGACAGGGAGTCTCTCAGATTCCAGGAATGTTACAGCATCAACAAGGTAACTTGGTTCTGCCTTGGAGTCTGGATTTAGGGTTTGGATTGTAATTTATTCTGTCAGAGAGAGAAACTGCCAGACTTTTGAGATGAGTGTTGGTGTCTACAAAGTGAAGCTTTAGAAGTAGGTGCAGTTCTTATAATAGTAAAATGTGGGTTAAAATAACTGTTCCTAAATTCAGCAGAGGAATGCCTGTAGGATCAGATGAGATTAAGTATGGGAATTTATGCAGGGAAAGTTAAAAAGAGCATATTTTAGTGAAACTGTAAAGTGGTATTTAAACAGTAAACTTTACAGCAGAAATAAGAAGAATCTACATACTGGTAGATCCAGACCTGTTCTGTACCATCCTTCCAATGGGAAATCCTGGGATTGTTTCTTGTCACGTGGTGCTGGAGAGCTGTGGGCAGGTTTGGAAGTTGCAAAATGCCATATAGGCAGGAATGTTGGAGGGTGACCCAGCTTTAAGAGCAATTCCCATAAAAGAGTGTGTAAACATAAAATCACACTTTCATTTGAGAGCTTGTTGGTGCTTGTTTAATACACAGATTTATTTTTTACTTGTTTGTAGTATGCAAGGTTTTATTGTTAAGTCTGCTTTATTTGTACTTAGAGTTTACATTCTACAGATGGTGAATTTTACCTCTTCCCCTCTGCAGCATGTGTGTGGTATGGGCATTGCATGTAAGAAATTGTAGGGATGAGTGAGTAGGAGGAATCTATAATAAAAATATGACTAAAAGGAGAAGAAAGCAGGGAAAATCACAAGTAAGTTACTTCCTAAGAAGGGGTAATTTCAAGAATGAACAGATTCCAACCAAAAATCCACAGCTGCTGGCTGCATGCTTCATTCTGCTTCATGGCAAGAAGCTGCAAAATACCAAATAATTATGGCATCATGACTGTGTTTTGTAATTGAACTTATATTTTAATAGTTAATTATCTTTATCAGTAATAAAACTTCTTATTTTTAGTTTGAATTAAATTTAAAAAAAGTTGCAGTTTAACTATTCACAGGTATTAGGTTGCTTCTGGAATGTGTAAACACAGCAGTAGTGACAAACTCAGCATGTTTGAAAGTTTAAATTGGATAGCCTGAAGAGACAAACATTTTTACTAGATGTTTAAGGTTAATTAAAAATGAATAGACATTAATTATGGTTGGCATTTTAAATAATTTGTGGGGAAGGATAAGGAGGAATCCTTTAGAAGGAGAATTTTGACTGTTAAACCAGAACAACTGCAGGAAACAGTTAATAAAGTGAATAAGAAAGTGCTTTTATTAAACTTTTAACCACTATAAATACTGTAAATATTTTCCCAAACCTGATGGCTTTTATGTGTGCATTTAGTGGCCTTGTTTTGGTCTTAGTTTCTCAATGTAAGAAAAAAAATAGTTAAGAAAGCAAATGTTAATGCAGGTTTATTTGGATTATTTATCTTTGTCCTGATGTAGAGCCTGTGGCAGCTTATACAGGAAGGAGGAGGAGAAGTAGATCTTAAACATGATTCTTGTAGCTCTTTAAGCTGGGGTTTTGTTTCCTTTTTGTTGTTGTCAGATTTTGGGAACCAAATATCTGTGTATTTTGGTTGCTCTATGAAGAGTACTAAAAGAGATTGTACAAATCAAGATAAACAATGGGGCATCTGACCTTCCTCCTTGTTATTTGGACTATAACTTGCTTCTAATTTTGCTCACTGTCTTTTTTCTCTACTCATTCTGTTTGTTCTTGCTGAAACCTATGACCTTCCTGCACTGCATGGTGTTAATTTGACTTTGAGTTAGAGATCTTGTGAGAATGTGGATAATCATTAATGCACTTTGGTTTAGTGACTGCTTGAAAATGGTATTTCTAATAAACCTGTGGAGTGATCTTTGAGCCCATTACCCAGCAGGGAGCATTTGTTGCTCCCAGGTTGGTGTTGAGCATGTAAAGGAAACTTGTTCTCCTTTACCAGAAGCCTTTTCCCCACGGCTCTTTCCCTTCTGCTGTCCTGACTTTTGGAGTAAAGAATTACTGACTCAGCATTGCAGCTGAATTTTAAGACATGCTGGTGAAATAAGTACTTTAGAATCCTTCTTTGTCATTATTCCAAATTTTTCATCCCTGAGCCTTGCCAGGCAGTATTTGCTTTAATTGGACAGTTCATCTCAAAGGTTGTCAGTTAGAAGCCTAATACAAAATCTCTTTGGTTTTGGAGTTTTCAAAATTGTATGTGTAAAACTATGAGATGTGACAGGCAGTAAGTTATATAAACAATTTACTTTGTTCCTGCTAAATACACTGACAAGGGCAATATCTTCACTGCTTCTGGGATATTTTTGTTAACCCTTTTGTTATTTAATTAGCTCTGATCAGAGAGAAGTGATAATATTAACACTTGCCGAGGGAGACAAAATCCATGGTATAGCTGACTGAATGGAAGAGCTGCCTAAGCTGCTAGAGAATACATTATTATTTTAATGTAGTGCTGTTTTTAGCATCCAAATACATTTTCCTCCTTCCATCCTGGAAAATCTGTAAACAACACGTTAGGAGAGCTTTCAAGTGTTGATTGGGCAGCTTATTGTCAGGAGTGACCTCATGTTGCAGTCGATTTCTATTTAGACTGCAGGGTTTAGTGCAGCACTCCAGAGGTGCCGCTCGCTCGCAGGCAGCCCCCGAGCACAGCCGGCAGCATGCACAGCCAGCAGCCCACAGCACGCTTTGCTGCCTTCCACATGAAGCATTTTTACATGAAGTGCTCTTTTGGGATAGCAAAAATAATCAGAATGGCCTGCAAAGTTCTGCTGCACAGGTAAATATATGAAAAGAAAATGTGATTTTGGTAGGATCGCAAGTAAGGCTTTAACTTTTAAAATTATGGGAGATTAAATGTGGTTTGGAGATACAAAATGAAATAATACCACAACTGATTATTTTAATGAGAAATAAGCATCTGTGAACAGTCAGGAAATTACCAAGGAAAACTTGGACATGTTTTATCTCCAGTTAATGTATTTTTCTACTTGAGATATGCTTTTACTGGGACCTTTTCTGATTAGGGAGCCAATGCTGGAGGGGTTCTCAGGAGGGAGTTAGCATTATGAAACAAAGATGTTTACCTTTCTGTGTCTTGCTGTGTCATGCTGCGTTAAGGCTCTGTCTGGCTTTATAAATTACAGCTTTTAAAAAGTATCCTTGAACTGTGGTAGGTGGGCTTAGAAGTTGTAATGGCTTTCACTTAGATTTTCACATTTGTTTCAGAAAGTGCTTAATTGCTGAAGTGATTTGTTGAAGATGTAAGATATTCTTCATGTAGTAAGAGGATTCTTTAGGATTTGTAATACTGCTGATTTATGCACAGCTTTTGCTGAGTACCTCTAATGCTCCCAAAAGTGTTGAGTGAAAGCACTGGAGAGCCATCCTGTGCTGGGGGCTGAAGGTTACACACTAGGGTGGAAAATTTTGTTCTGAACCATGTCTGGAATCATCTGGATTCTTTGGAGATGAGTTTGATTCTCCCTATTCTTGACACATTTCCTCATTGTCTCAAGTGGTAGAAGAAAAGGTTTTCAAGTCATCAGTTTCCTATAAATAGTGTTTGTACTTGTGCCCTTGACTGAGTTTTTCTTGCTCTCTTTTGCAATTAGGGTGTTGCAGTGTTCTGTGCTCTAATTGCCTCATTTTTTTCTACCAATTTGTCCAAGGAGTGACTGTTTCAATAGTAATTCAAGTTCAGTTTACACAGTTATGTATTTGTACATTTAGAATACAAGCATACCTTTTATAATGCAACTTTTGTAGAACTTATGAGATGGATACTTAAAACTACATTCTTCATATTTTGACATATTATTGGGGTTTTTTTTCCAAGATAGTGCTTCTTTACTCTTTGTTCATTAAGCTAAACTTGTAGCTTCATATTTTCATTTTTTATTTCAAGTACTGTTAATTCAAAGTATGTTTTTATCAGGAAATTGACTTCGGTCGTAGGACTGTGCTGAACTTCTCTGCATGGAAATACAAATGACATGTAAATACCCTAAGCAGTAAACTGCCTCCTGCCATTTTTTTGTTTGTAAGAAAAATATAAAATGTCAGCGTGTTCCCCCTCAGTTATTTGATCTGCAGCTTTGAAATCAGTGGCTACAAGATCTGGCTTCTGTGTCAGGTGTTTTAATTTCCTGAAGCTGTGTCTGCTTTGAAATAGTGGCTGAGTGTTGCCTGTTCTCAATGCATTTGGAGTAGATCAGCTTTGGCTTTTCACCAGGCAAACACACACACAAATCATAAGATGAACTTGATTTGTCAGCCAGTTTCCATTTTAAAAAAGGGGAGGAAAAAGAAATTGAAAGCATCTATGAGCACCTGCTTGTTCACTTTGTGTCATATGGGCTTTAAATTCTGTGCACTCTGCTCTTGGCCCAGTACAAGGTGTCTCAGGCAAACTGGTATAGTTATTTTTAAATAAATACTTTAACCACTTTCTTTATCACCACATGTTTAATTGAAAGCCCTTTATTGTTTGTGTTTCACCTACTTGGAGGAAGGAAAAATAGACTGCTTGAGATGAGTTTTCTCTGGTGGTGGAACTACTAATAAACCTTATAAGTTCTAACCAAGGTATTTGCTGTGTTATTCTTGGGTAAACAGAGAGACTGTCTGCATTTTTTAGTGCAAGCAAGGCTCATAGCAGTCAAAACTGATAGGACCCCTCACAGAGGTAATGATTGCTCAGTTCTCCAGGGGAGTGGCAAGCTCCTTTGTATTTCAGGGTTTACCATATGTATTCATGAAAATAATACTTTAAATCAACTTTGGCAACAGTGTTGCTGCATGGTAAAAAAAAACATAAAATCTTTTTCAGCTTTTTGAGCTTAGTTATCTGTAATAGAAAGAAAAAGCCTTTTTTTTACCTCCTTCCCTGCCTCCAACTTAAGCTGAAAATAATATTTAATTTTTTCTGGGTGAGGTGTGTGTGTTGCAATTCAGGGCTGTTTATAGCAGATTTCTCATCTTTTATTCTTTATTGTCACTTTGTCTGAAGTTTTAGTATTCTGTTTATAATAAAATTTTAATCATATTGATGAAAAATTGTAGAGGGACCACACACACATGAATTAACTGGCTTGTGTTAGTTATGTTGATTTCCACCCTCCCACCCCTCCTCGAGGAGTTTAACATTCTAGGCTGAAGTGGCTTTGCCTGGAGATTTCCAGATGCTTTACAAAAATCAGGCTCCTGTCCCAAAATCTGCCTTCTACTTGCAATGTTGTAGCTGTGCTCAGAGAGTGTTGAAGATCTGTTGAGCATTGCAGAACAAAATTATGCAACAGTGGGAAGAACCTGTGGGGGAAAGCAGAGTAATTTGGAATTTGCTTTAGGCAGCAAGGTTAAAATCTGCATTCTTAAGCAAGATGTCAGGAAATGTTTGAACGACAGAACGATTAGTATTTCCCATGGGAAAGACCATACATCTGAGAGCTTGGAGCTTCATAACACAACAAATATTGGCTCTTGCGAGACAGAAATCTGCATTGCTACTTCTACAACTTTCTGCCTCGTGATGGTGCTCCTTAAGATTTTGTCATTTAAATAATAGAGGACTGCAAATCAGGGTGTTCCTTTCATGTTTATTCTACCTCTGTTAGCTGCATCACATGCAATATTTAAATATTTTTAGGTTGCTTTCTGTTGACTTCAAGACTTTTATTTAGTGTGATAAGTTTTTGCATTATATTAACTTCTCTTTCTTTATTGCAGTGCTCATATCTCTCCCATAAGTATCTTGCCAGCCTCTGCAGAGTAAGTACAATGAAAATATGAAATGTTTGAATTGTGCTCTTGCTAGAACATGCATAGAAGTTATGTATCCTTTCAAAAAAATGCAATAGGTTTGATTACAGTTATGAAGGAGCATATTTTACTGTGAAGGATGTCAGTGGTAGCATGTAACACTAATGCAGGAAGTACCAAATGCCTGTCAGTGCTGTTGACTGCAGGAGCATGAGAGCAGAGTGTGTTTGCATCCAGAGTCCAGAACTTTGGTTTTACACTTAGATACATCTGAAGTTTTTTACTTAATCTTATAATACCATTCATATTGTAATTTTAGCACAAGTGATGCTGAGTACAGTTCAGTGGAATTCTTTGTACGTATGCGGAGGAAAAATAAAAGCACAATTTCAGAGTTAAAATGGGATTAAATAGCTTAAGATTTTTACAGGTGGATTTTTAGAGGCTTCTTTTGTGTTGAGAATGAGCTGCCTGACAGGTGCTCAGTGGAGTAGTTTTTAAAGAATACTGTTCTGTTCTTGATGAAATTTTGGGTATATCCTGTGCCCTTCATCAGGTACTTGCTGATTTTTTGCTCCTATTTGTTGGCTTTTGCCTTTTAAGATGACAGCCCTGTTCAGGAGAGGGTGCAGCCAGATGTGATGAAGTGGAACCTGCTCCAGGGTTGATTCTCACTGTTACAGACACAGGATTTTACTGTCACAGTAATCCATAAGGCTCTTACAAGTGTTTGTGTATAGTTGTTAAAAAATAGGTTAGTTATTGTAATGTGTTGATTACTCTTAAAATACTGTTGATAAACTTCATAATACTTCATGTAAATCTTAATGGATTAAAAAATAGTAAGTGTAGTAATTTCCACTGCTTTTTGGAAAAGTTAGTCTCTTTTGCCTTGAAGTACTGCCATCAAAAATTATTGTCATGTAAGGTTTATCTCTGTCTTTCTGTCTAGTTGATCAGTGCAAAAGTAGAGCTCTTAATAACAGGACTTTTCCATCTTATGTTTTTTTAGCATTTTAGAAAGAACAATCAGAGCAGCTGTGGAACAGCATCTTTTCGACCTGCAGAGCAGCTTGGATAACGATCTGAAACACATACAGCAACAACGACTGGGCTGTAACAATGAAACAAAAAACCCCAGTGGGGATGAGGAAGGATCTAACAACCAGTAAGATTTTGTTGTGTCTGTACTGAATTCTGTAGGATTGTGTATCTTAACTCTTCCAAAAAAACTAACCAAATCCCCCACCTGGACCCAAAAGTTACAACTTCGACTGTTGACTTCAGTTTTATGTATTTAAAAAAAAATCAGCTTCCATCAGGTGCCAGTAATCAATAGCTCTTGAAGCAAATATTTTAAATTGATCTTTTAGCTAAAAATGCTGTGAAGTGTAGTGTCTGCTTTACTGCTGAATTCTGTGCAAATAGCACAGAAACTTAAATTTACTCAAGTGCTTTCTTTCTTATCTCATCCATGTGACTTACAAGAAAATTTTAACATATTATTGTAGATTCTCTTTCTGTTTCATAGCCCTGTCTTTCCATGTCAACGTCACTACTTTACTGCTCTGGCTGCCAGTGTAAATGAAACAGCCAAAAATTGATAAAATGACTACTGTGGGTCTATTTGCATACAGTTCCAATCTTATTTGACCAGATTTTATTTTTCTTGTAAATCAGGACAGATTCTGAGTGCAGTGATTGCCATGGCAGCATTTGGAAGCTGGTACATTTTGGTGCTTCATTAAAAATAAGTAGTTGTGATTAATACTCAAGACTTCAAAAATGTGTTAAGATTTCAGTACCTAAAATTCTTTGTTACTCAGAGCTGGAACACATGAAGAGAACCTGAAATACATGAAGTGTTGTTCAGAGACTCAGATGCTATTTTCTAAATTGTTCAACCTTTAGTGGTTTTAGAAGATAGGAATAAAGTTTGCAGTGGATCATAAGAGTAATAATCATTGCTGGTAATGATGAATTAAATATGAGTTTTAGTGCTAAAGATTCAATGTCTTTGAAGTAATTGGTAAGGGGGTGTTGCTCAGAGCTGGAACACATGAACAGAACCTGAAATACATGAAGTGTTGTTCAGAGACTCAGATGCTATTTTCTAAATTGTTCAACCTTTAGTGGTTTTAGAAGATAGGAATAAAGTTTGCAGTGGATCATAAAAGTAATAATCATTGCTGGTAAAATCTGAGTTTTAGTGCTAAAGATTCAATGTTTTTGAAGTAATTTGTAAGGGGGAAATTGCCTCTCAGCCCTGTAGCAGCTGAATTCCTTCAGTCCCAGTGTAAGTGCTGTAAAGGTTGGCTGATCTCAGAGGGGGAGGCTCCAAGTGCCATCTCTGCTGGTTTGAAACCAGTATCCTCCTCTGGCACAGGCACTGCTGCAAATGCTTCTGATCATCATTCCACTGTGGATTAACTGTGAGAGAGATACATGATATTGTTCTTCAAGGGGGTGTCTGGGTTCTTTAAAGCAGCAGACTGTGCACAAGGCAAATACACAGTTAAGTTAAGAACTTAAAAAAGCAGTGATCCAGTGCCAACTTCTTAGTGCTAATTTAATGGCTGGAATTAAGAAGAAATAGTTAAAATGTTAATTTTCAACACATCTTGTTTATTTTCTCTATATGTGATAGTAAGGAGCTTTCTTCATGTGGTCTGGAATTGTTTTGGAGTGAGGACAAGGAAGGCAAAGAAGTCAAAAGCTTGTTATGAATGACAGAGTCATGTGGTGGCACATAAAGCATGTATGTGAATACAAATATGGTGGCAGTTAGTTTTAATCTGGCTGTGATGTTACATGCCTTAAGTTGAAGTCTCAGCAGATTAAATGTTTGAAATAATGGGATTTCTCACTGGAGGGGAACCCAGTGACAGTAGCTATAAACTAACTGGCCTCAGTACTGAGAGGAGTGTAGCCACAGCAGTGTCATTGAGTCACTGTAGTTTCAGGGTGTCATTGCTTCTGGCTATTGTGTTTCAATTCCTTAGGTTAGTATTGTAAGTGTGGGGTGTGTGTCTGGCCCTTCAGACAAGAATTAAATAAATGCATTTTAATATGTCTGTCATATCTGGATGCACAAAACACCACATTAATAATTAATTTTGCCTACAGGTCAGAATAATTCTGTTAAAAAAAAACCAAAACCAAAAAACATCCTAATGTCTGTAAGGGGGGAAAATGTATTTCTTATTTATTTTTTTTTTTTCTTTTAAATGTGTAACAACAGTTTTCTAAAGTCCTTCTGTTTGTATTTTTAGGAATGATGTTATTGAAGATAATGACACTGGTAGCAGTGAAAACACAGGAGACTGCTCTGAAGTATTGGTTTGCACTGATTTAGACAGTGAAGCTATGAAACATGATACTGTAACTGAGGAAGAAGAAAGCATCCAGGTGAGAGGAGGAGTCTCCTGTATATCAAATCATAAGTTGCTGCAACTTTAGTGCTCTAGAGATCCAAGTTCTCCTAAGAGCTCTGATGGAGCATTATGTGGTGCTCTTGCTCTGTGCACTCAGTTGTCTTCCTTGTTGTGCCATGTGCACTGAGAAATCTCTGTGTATTTTGGTGTGACTTGTTTGGTCCCTGGCTGATGTTTTTCCATTCTTCTTTCACAGATACCAGCCCTTCCTTCTGCTGAGGTAAGCTGGAGTATGAGGCAGCATAGCACTGGTTTGAACACCAACTGTGTTAGTAAAGGCTTCCTGAGAAGCAGAAGCTGTAGAGCTGATTACAGCATAGCCCAGTCACCTTGCATGGATCAGGAAAGGGTAGCAGTCACCTTGAGGCTTTGCAGCCTCTTGGCTGTGCTTGTGCTAGGAAGGTTTTGGCATTAGCTAATTACAGCCTTTCCTCTCTATTTCCAGTTCCTTCTATGGTAGGCAGAGATATCCTGTTCTTTTCAGCACATCTTTATCTCTTCACTAGTTGATGCAGTCAAGGAATTCTGTAAAATATGTGCTGACAAAAATGAAATCAAGGATAACAGTTAAAGTGCAAGAGAAGAGAGTATTCTTCCACTTTGCTTTAAGCATATGCAGCTGTCAGATAAGACCTTCCAATGAAAAAAACCAAATCTATAGTTCCTTATTTATTTGCTAACACTTTTGTTGTTACAAATCTAATTGATTAATTTTGTGGGTGGAGAGGTTTGTTCCATGTGTGGAGAAGTTTCTGCAATGGTTTTCAGCTTCTTGCCTGTGAGTCCATAAATCTTCCTGAGGGTTTCCTGAAAGATAACCAGATAAGCAAACCTATTGTTAGTAACTTAAATTAACTAGAAGAATTGAATGGGTCTTTGAACTTGCAAAGATGGGAATGGATGCCTTAGCATAGTGAGATTGAGTCATTTGGAATCTGTATTTTTATTAAAGCAAAATGTTTCTGTAGTGCTTTTCAGTACTGGGATGTGTTCTGCTCTGGGGCTTTTGTTTGCTTTTGGGGATCCCAAATGACTCTCTTGAATCACCTAGCAAGCCAAATATTCCAGTTGTTCGCACAAACTAGCATATTGTTTTGGAATCCCATTCTGTAAATTAAATTTCACAGAATATATTCATTGTCCTGGTTCTTTCCTCATGCTTTAGTGCCAATCTTTATTTTTTGTTGTAAAAAATAATTCAATTGTTATCCTATAGCACAAAATGCATAAAACATGGTATTGGATGTAAAGGGGAATATGATGCTTGTGAGTGCACAATAGAAATACTTTTGTTGTCATTCCTGGCCTTTTTTTGCTTTTTGATAGACTTTTCCTCCATTGCTGGCAGTAGTAAGGTGGCATTTTGGTGTGGAGTTTTGTTTTTTTCAATGGTAGTCTTTTTCCATCTTTTTAATACACTGTTTCCAATTGGAGAGTTGTACCATTTCGGGAGAGGTTAAAGAGAAGTGTGGTGATTCTCCTGTGTGGAAGGAGTTTGAGAGGAGTGTGTAGGGTTGTAGGAGAAGAAAGCTCTGCATGTGAGTTCTCCTTTGGTCCCAAAATGGAAATAGAAGCAGCTGTTTCCACAATTTGAGTAAGTGTGACTGTGCAAGACTTATACAGCTCATCTCCAGGATGGAAATTATCTGCTGGAGTATGACAAATGCACTGTAATTAAAAATTGTTTCCCCAGATTGGAATTTGGCTTGAGGACTGAAATAATGTCAACAGAAGAATGATGTTTTTTCTGACAGAGGTGTCAGTTGCTGTCAGCAGCATAAAACTGGCAACTGTTGGTGTGTTTGAAGTCTCCTGGTAACTTGATGTTATATTCAGACACTGTAAAGATCATTTTGTGAGAATTCCTGAAGTCTAAAACCTAATGGCATATTTTATATTTCAAATTTCTTGTATTCCCCCAAATAAGACACTTTCCTGAAGAAATCATCTACTGGGCTTGGGCATAAATATTTCTAGTGAACAAAGTGGTGACATGGACTCATCTGAATTTGTTTTGTGAGATGGTGTCACAGAACTGACAGCACTTTTTCATCCCCTTCCAATTCTGTTGCTGCTTTATTTAGTAACAGGGATTAGTAGCTCCTTTAAAAAGTTTGTCAGACTTGTTTCATTTCATATATGTTGGGCACAACTCTTTTTGAGACTAGGATACAAACTGCCATGGTTTTAGTCACCCCAAACTTCATGTCATGAGTGACAATTTTAGGTACGCCTTTCTTGAGGAAATAATAAAAAATGGTTTATCTGAAGATGGGAAGTCAATATCTGACTTCTGGTGATTAAAACACTTGGTCACTGGCCTTTCTTGAGATGTAAAAATGGTTAAAAAGCATGGTTTCCATGCACACACACAAGAAACTTCTAGTTCTTGAGGGCATTTCGTGGTCAGAGATGGTTATGGAAACGTTTTCTGTTGAGAGAGCCATTCCCAAATCTTCCTAAATACTTTTTCCTAACAGACTGCAGACATATTATTGAAACCGTGTGATGAAGATGAAGATGTTGATGGAGAAAATAATAGTGAAAGGTTTGTGTTTTTTGTAGTCATACAAATCTATAAGATTAACCTACAGCTTGTTTTTTTTTTGTGAACAGCCCTGTGTTATGAGAAAGAGAAGAATAGAAATTTATTTTCTTCAAAATATTTTGGCACATTTTATTCCTCTTAATGATTGAAGAATTAACGTTAGCAACAGAATTAGTGTTAGCAACAGCCAGAAAGCTCTGTTAATTTGCAGCTTCAGTTCAGCACTGATTGGAATTTTCAGTTTTTGTTCAGTTGAGTTTTAAAATATTTACTCTCTATTTGAGAATAAAGGTCTGAGCTGGTTTTATTTTCAACTTTATTCAAGTCTAGTTGTTGTTTACATGCTGCGACTTGAAATTTAATGTGAAGATGAGAAATTGGGAAAAAAGTAATATAACTTTAATCCTCCAGAGTTTTAATTATTGCCTTAAATAAATGCATTGCCTATCTGCTTAAACTGCATGGGATTTGTAAAAAAAATATATAAGGGGAGTGTATAGTGTTACCTGTCCATTTAAATGATAATGTCCATTTAAAATGATAATGAGATCTGTTTCTTCTTTTTAGGGAAAATAGTATATTGCTTGATGGCAATGATAGAAAATCTTCAGAGGCATTTCTGGTAAGAAAGATTTCATTTATATACAAATATACTGCATCTTATAAGAAATATAAATGTGAAGTAACATAATAAATTTAGTTTTTAACATCTTGTGGTGGCTGCAAGGCTTGCAAGACCCCTGTTAAAGAGCTCATCATGTCACTTGACAGAAACTTAGTGCAGCACAGCAAGTTTATGCTTACTCATCTGATGTAAGAAATGTTTTGGAATGTAAATAATTGACTGCCGCTGGGGTGTGTGTCTATATTCTTCACTCCTTGACTTTGGAAAGATTTCTTTTTTCATTGAAATTTCTAGAAGTGCTGGATCTGATTAAGTACCTGAGTTCCAGCTGCTGAGTAATAATAAAATTGTTCTGTTCTTTAAATACAGGATTCAAGTAGCAAGACTTGTGATCTGAATGCAAACCCTGATTCCGAGGTGCTGGGGGATGGCAGCGATCATGGTCCCGAGGAGGCTCCGGCTGTCCAAGTGCCACATCTGGATCTGAAGAATGTGTCTGATGGTGACAAATGGGAAGGTAATTTTCACTCTTTAGCTCACACTATGGTTAGGGAGGAGTGATAAATAAAACTATTTGCAAAGTAAAAGCAGGAGACAACAGCATGTTCCTGTACACATGGTAAGATCAACCAAGTCATGACATAGGTCTCATCTTGTTTCAGAACCATCTGCAACTTTAATTAAGTACCTTACAAAAATATAAGGGAAAACTAAAGAAAGAAAGCAAAAAGTCCAAGTTTCATTGTAGGTGACATGTTTTGTTTAGTTTTTGGTTTTTATTGTTTTAAAAGTTCATGACCCTGAGTCTCTCATCCAAGTCTTTAAAAACACTTTGTCTAATTATATAATCTAGTTTAAATTATCTTTGTGTCCTGTTTGTCTTTGTTTTATTAAGTGTAAACTATTGAATTGGCTGAATTTGAGTTAAAATCACTAACCTGCCAAACACAGCAGTTCATATTTCAATTTTTCAGAAAAATCTGTCAGTTGTTTTGGTTTCCATGTCATTGGACAACTCGAAGCAGCTCTGAATTTTCAAATAAAGGCTGAAGTTGCAGATGGATATTTTTTTGTGCCCCTCCTCCTTCTACGGTTTGCATTTTAGGAGAAGAAAAATACTTGTAACAATTTTCTCTCAGACAGGATTCCCTATGTTTGTGACCTTATTCTTTACTGCCTTCTAGGCTTAGCAATCCATTGAGCTTGTGACTTGACTGAATTTTATTGCTTAAATGTTTGGTTAAACTGTTAAAACTTTTGTTTTACTTAAAACAACCATAAGTCCTTTGTAACCAGAGCAAAACACTCTTGTCAGTACCGTCTTTTCAAAATACTTCTCTTTTTATGTCTTCCTTATATCGTGTTTCCTCTGCCTGGTGTTGGAGTTATCACACCTTAAAAAATGCAAGTGATCTAAGCTGCTAAATCACTGTGAGCTGTCACTGACAGTGCTGTGGCCACAGGCCACTTGTTTCTGGTTTGGAAAACTTGCAATACAACTTGATAGACGTAGTGCAGGTTAACTGTGCAGGGACAGGGTTTTAACTTTCAGCAGGCATTTCCAGTGACAGCTGCTCCTTGAGATGCCTTTAAGTGTCGCAGTGAAACCTTAGCAGACACTGGTAGCAAGGAATCACTGCACTTAACTTGTGGTTGCAGTGTTGGAAGTATTAAAATGAGGGAAGTAAAGCTGGAATGTGTGTTCTGTAACAGTGCAGCTTCGAGCTGTCAGCACATACAGCTTTGTCCTGAAGCTCAAGTGGTGAGAACTGATTGTTACTGCTGTTGACTGCCTTGCAAATTAATTGCCTTCAGGAGTCCACACTTCCCTTTTAACCCTTCTGCAAATAATGAGGTTTGCAACTTGTGATTGGCTTCATTTGTTGTGTACAACATTTCCTGGTTGGTGCTCTTGAGCCCTAGCAAGCTGCACATTCAGACTATGTCATGGCACAGAGAAGTCAAATTGCAGGCACCTGAAGACACTGAGTCCAGGTTTCCATTCTTGTTGCCCAAGTTAAGAACTGAAGCTAAAACATAAAAATCCTGCTTATGTTTTCAGTGCTTTATTTAGTTTAATTGCTTACTTGCACATTACATTTTGTTACATCCTCTATTTGTGTTAAGATGACTTAATATGTATTCTCAGAAGGTTTGTGGCATCCATTCTCATTATTTCCTTAAATCTGCTCATGAAGTTGCTTTTGGTTTTACTTCCCCAAATAGCTTTATGACCCTTGTTTTGAAAATAAAGCAGTGTATCTTTTTATAAATTTATATTATTACTTCTTGGTATTAAATCATGTTCTTTGCAAGAGGTCTTAATTTCACTGTGAAGTATTTGAATGTTGACTGTACTTCAGTCCTGTTTAGGATGGTTATTAGGAACTCAGCCTTCCAAGGCACTGCAAGTCCTTGTGGCATTCCACTGAAGTAGAGTGACTTTGTTAAGAAATCTGCACTAGTCCAAATTCAGTTACAAGATTTGGGTTATTAAAGCCAATCTAATAGAAAACTCAAAGGCCTGTATGCAACAGAGTTCTTGAAAATCAACATCAAATGCTTGCTGGTCAAAGGTGAAAATGCAGATGGTTGATTTATGTTTCTGAGTATTTTTTCTGCATTTGCCCTGCTTTTTGGAAATCACCACCATCTCTATTATTTACAAGCTCTGAGCAAAAACATTAGAGCTTGCCTTTGTTCATGTGAGGATGCATGAGTCTCTTATTAAACTGCAATAAGTCTTTACTATTCCTCTACCAGTTCTTTGTAAACCTTTCCAGTAAAAAGTTCAGATTGGCTGAGGACTGAGCATCCTTACCTGCCATGGGAATTGCTTGGAAGCTGAGAGTGCTCAGGGCCTGGTCCAAAAAATGGGATGTTTTTCCCTGGTACTGTATCTTCCTGCTTTACATGTTATGTATAGTTTGTTCTGACTGTGCTGTGTGTTCACTTTAGTATTTTTGCCATTCTTTTTCATTTTATTAGCGCCATGCCCTATCACTTTCCCCCTCATTGATTTCAAAACAATGCATCTGCAGAGAGAAGGGGAGGGTAAGTATGGTTCGCCATACGTTCAGTTATCTGCCTTTTGATAGTTGATGGTTTGCTTTCTAACTAACCCTTCACCTGCTGTCCCTTATATCTTGGGAATATTCTGATCTGCAGCTTTTTTGTTGATTCAAAAAGGTCCCCTTCTTGTATCTTGTACTGTGCAAACAGGCAAGATCACAGCTGAAAAACAACAAAAAAATTCCCAATCGTACTTAGTAAATGTGCAGTGGAAAGCAGGTACAAGGGTTATTTTTTTTTAAGATTACTTTGTGGGTTTTATTGTTGTTCTGCACACTTTGAACCCAGTTTTCAAATTTCTGATTTGAACTAGTAAAAAGAACAGGCAAGTCTGAAAGGAGAAGGGGGGGTGGGATTTTAAATTGAAGTAATTGAAAGGCTGTATCAGCTTTTTTTTTTTTAGACAGCAAGAAAACCATGTTAAATATAAGGAATGTTAGCAAGGAGCTTTTCATGGGGATTTGAAAGAATTAATTGTTTTGGAATCTCCCTCCTAAAAAATCACCTTCCACAAATTAAGAAATCTCTTTTTCTCAGTGGTGTCGAGGTAGATTTTATCATAAAACCCAAAAACATTCCTTAAAAAAAAGACTTAAGCAAGTGGGCATTGCCCCTAAAGAGGTACTGTCAAACTTACCTTCTTCAAAGCCAAGAGGACCAACTTTCAAAATACATGTGTAGCGTATGAAAATGAATTTCCACAGCAAAATACTGCAATGGACAATAAACATATTCTTACTTTATATTTCTGATACATAAATAAGGCTCTGTTACACTATTGAACTGCTCAGAAATGCATACTCCCAAGATACACTTTGAAAAAGGGATCCTAGTGTGCATACTTCATTTCAGTACCTTTTTCTTTCAGTTATATGACAGAATTTGTAGCTTTCTGATGCATTTCACTGTTTTTATTCACTTTGTGTATGACACCACATCCTCTAGAGCATACAAGACTAAGCATTGGGTTCGCATTTTTGTTTCGACTCTCGTTGATAGTTCTGGTAACAGAAAAATACCATTTTCTGTCTTTTTTTTATCTTCTAGATCCATTTCCTGCTTTCAAGTCTTGGCAGGAGGACAGTGAATCTGGAGAAGCTCAGCTTTCCCCACAGGCTGGGAGGATGACTAATCATCCATTGGAAGAGGACTGTCATCCCATATTGTCACATCGCAGTTTGGATTTTGGGCAAAGCCAGCGTTTCTTACATGATCCAGAAACGTTGGACTCTTCATCCAAAGCACTTTCTTTTGTTAGGTGTGTATTTTAATGCAGTCTGGTGGGCAGGATGTGTTATGGCAGGATGAAAATACAGCTGTTTGAGATTGCTGTGGGTTTTCATGATCTAAATGAACTGAAGACCAAGGTCAAACATGGCATTGTGTGGCCCTTGGACTGCTCTGCCTGCCCAGGAACTGCTGGAGTGAGTTAGAGCAGAGGTTCAGCTGGGTGGGATTGTGTCTGTCCAAGTGGCCTTTGACAGATGCTGAGGGAAAGAGGATAAAAATAGGACAAGATTGCAGAGCTTTCCCTGGCATTTGATCATTGCTTTGGACAAATGGCATTTCCTGGGCTGAAAGTAGTATTTATATCCTTTGTTTACCAGGCTTTGCTAGACTCTGCTCTGATTTTATGTAAGATCTGGCTTTTTGTTTTTTTCTTGTATTTTGTTAACCTAGTTTATTGAAGTAGAGTTGTCACTAAACAAGCTGCAGGCTATTTGTATGAACTGGGCAGTGTGACTCTCCAAAACTGTAAATAACCCGTGACCTGTACTGTCTGCTCCTATTACTGGGGAAGGGAAGTTAAGAAGAATTTTCATGCTTGTTAGGGAAGAAATAATCTCATAAAAATGAGAAAGCCTGAAACAGGAGATTGGAACAAGCTTACAGTTTCTAGTTGTCTGTCTGGCAGATTTACTGGTGCAAAAAGATCCTTGTGTAAGTTTTCTCCAATTAGCTACAGAAAATATTTAACAAGTAGCGTTAAAATTAGGTAGAAGACTGACCTGCAGAAAAGTGCTGATGATAATAGCTGTTCTCATTCTGAAACTAATATGGATCTGCTCCAGTAGATTATTAGATTAGTATTGCTATTATCTTGAACTACATAGATTTCCCTGGCTGTGTTGAGGGATGTTTCAGGCACTCTGTATAATAAGTGTTCTGGAAAATTCTCATGTCAGTCTTGAAGCAAAAAATGCTTTGCAAGAGCAGCAAATATCAAGGAGCTGTGTGAAAGATGATATAAAACCAAAACCACATATTTTAGAAGTCTGTTAGTAAAATCTAAGAAATTTATTAGTAAGACTGACAAATTATGTGGATACTTTTTGGCTTAATTATCTCTTAACTTGCCTGAGACAGTTGAGTGAAGCTGTTTAATTACCAAAGATTGTTCAGTGGTATTTTCTAGCCTGGGCTTTATTCTGTGCACAGTACTTGAAGAACAGCTGAGTATATAGTAACTTAGGTAAACAGCCTGGGCACCAGGAAATTGGCAATTAATGGTGCATTACTTGAATTTCAAATACAGTTTTTCTGTTGTGGGTATTGCTCCTGTTAGAGAGATAAAAATAACATCACATCTTGAAGGCAGCAGCTCAAAGCAGTTTGAGTAAATATCTCTGAAAGCTTGAAATTAATGGATTATGAACTGGAGAAAAAATGAAATTATTAATCTCTGACTTGAATATCCATCTTGTTTGCACTCATTTAATTATCTAAATGAGATTTTAATAATGTTTTTAAACAGAACACGAAGAGCATCCTTTAGCTCAAAAGATGACAAAAGGGAAGACAAGACACCTTATCAGCTTGTCAAGAAATTACAGAAAAAAATAAAGCAATTTGAGGAACAGTTTGAAAAAGAGAAAAACAGTAAGGTAGGTTAGCACTTCCATCTTTACTCAGGATAAGGGACTGCATGGGAGGGCTGAGTGACTCATTGTTGAATAATTGTGTTCACAAATGAGAATTTTGTTACACACTGCTGTCTGCAAAAGGGAGCTGAGCAACAGCAGTATTAGAAAATTTGCCAGAATGCCAGAGCCAAAGGAGGACAGAGTGACAGTTCTGCTGAGAGACTGAGGCCATTTCAGATGTGTGGAAAGGAGAAGTGTCTTGCCACTCTCTGGTTCAGCTGCTGAAGTTGTTTCAATTTTATTTTCACAAGTGTTGTCCTTATGTTGGCACTGAGATTTGGAACTGATACTCAGTGGCATTCCTGTAGCTGTTCACATTCACCATCACAAATATTACCAAATATTCAAAGAAATACATATAAACAAGATTTAGTGTGCTTGTTTTAATATGTAGTTTATTTGTATTTTTTACAGCCCTCCTATAGTGATATTGCAGCCAATCCAAAAGTTTTAAAATGGATGACTGAACTTACCAAACTGAGAAAGCAAATAAAAGGTAAGAGATTGCTACAGTTTCTTGTTCTCTACCAACACAAATTATCTTTATGACTGAAATGGCTAAGTCAATAGGTAAAATTCCACAGCACACAAAAATGTTTCATTTCTACATTCTGCACTATTCAAAAATCAAATTATTCTTATGGCTTTAGTTCTTTAGGAGAGAAACTTTCCCTATGCAAATTGCTATGTTCCTGTACTTGCAGTTAAATAAACTGTGTTATTTCTTTTAAACCTTTGGATTGAGCATTTTTTCCCATTTCAGATGCAAAGCAGAGGAGCTCAGAGGGAGAATTCATACCTCAAACACGCCCACGAAGTAACACTCTTCCAAAAAGCTTTGGTTCCTCTCTTGACCAAGAGGATGAAGAAAATGAAGATGAGATGCGGGTTGTGCAGAAAGAGAAGAAGCCCACCAAGGAGGCTACGCTTGAACTCATTTTGAAAAGATTAAAGGAAAAACGAGTTGAGAGATGTTTACCAGAAGATATAAAGGTAAGCATAAGGTTTTGGATAGGCTCTCTGTAAGAGAATAAGGGGGAAATAGAGCACTTGAGATACCACTTGATCAACAATGATGATGCCTCTGGCTAGCAGCTCTTTACCAGGCCATCATGTTTCAGACTCAGTGGGAAAATTATCAACATGAGCCACATCCTCCTTGCTCTGTATTAAAATATTTACAAGTGTGTTCTGACAATATTAAACAGCTTTAACTGGAGGAAGGTGGGTTGTATGATGTTAACTAAGATAAGTTTGGCTTAGGCATCTGGATAGCAAATAAAAGTGACTTGTGTTTGATTAAATGCTAATTATTCTTGATAGAAAATGACAAAGGACCATTTGGTAGAAGAGAAGACATCTCTCCAGAAGAGCCTCCTGTATTATGAAAGCCAACACGGCCGGCCGGTAATGCTTGGCTTTATTTCCAGCTCTGCCATTGTGTGCATAGAGGCAGTAACCCTGGAGCCATAGTAAGACCAGAACTTAATGCTGGTGTGGGGGGTTCTTCTTTTTCCTTCTCCAAAACACGAAGGTATCTATTGGCCTCCATGTTGTCATCTGAGGAACTTGCTGCATTGACTTCTAAAAAAAGGAAAAAGTATATATTATTAGGCCTCTTTTCAGAAATCAGCAGGTTATTGGAGTGTGCAAAGTGATGGGTGTCATTTGGTGCCTTATATGTCTGTGAGGCAAAGAGATGTCTTAAAAATAAACAAGATTATTGAATTTCCTCAGAGAAGACCGGAAATGTTATTCTGGATTTCACAGAAACAGAAATGAAAGGACAGTTCCCACCCCCTTCTCTAGTTTCATCTTTTTCTTTTTTCCCTTTCATTTCTGTAGAGCCATCATCATTGCCAGGCACACATCTTTTCCCCCAGTTCTTGGTCCCTTTTTTGCCTTTTTTCCATGGATATTTAAATACAGGGTTTGCCTGTGCAGAAGCTCCCCTAATTTTTAGGAAGCATTTAAATCTTTTCCCTGAAAAATACAGGGTATTAAAGTGAGAGAGAATGAAAAAGCACCCACTTATTCCCTTTTATGTGATAAATCCCCTTTCATACACACAGTGTGAGGTAGTTTTATGTTCCTAGTTGCAACGTTGGTAGCCTGGCAGGAGAAGCACACAGCTTTGTGTTTGCTTGTCTGTGATGGAGTGACCGGTATAATTAATTCTGTGGTTTCTCTGCCTCTAGGTTACTAGAGAAGAAAGACATATTGTGAAGCCACTTTATGACAGATACAGACTTGTAAAACAAATGTTAACTAGAGCAAGCATTACTCCTATTCTTGTGAGTAAAACAAATGCTATTTCTATTTATTTTCCCACTTTTGAACTGCGAGGCTGCCTTTAGAAGAGCCAGTAACACCGTTCTGTGAAACATCTGTCTTGTGGAAGATATGAGATATTGTCATTGTACTTGAGGCATTTGATTGATTTATTGCTGAGAACAGAGCAGTTCCAAGCTGTCTGTGACCTTGATGGCTGTTGGGAATTAAATGGTTCTCTGTGGAAGTAAGTGAGCTGTGCTAACTTGCTATAGCTGAGATGTTCCCAAGTGCTTGTGCTAGGTATGGATCCACAGCACATACTGTACTTTTAGTCCTCCCCAGAATAGTAACACCAGTTGCAGTGCAGGTTGCTGTCAGCAGAGGCTTGAGTGACAGGATTGCCATCAGAACCATTTCATTCCTTCATGCTTCCCCAGAGACAGACATTACCAGCACCTGCAGCATCTGTACAACATCCATGCTTTTTCATTGTGTTTTCACTTCATTTCCTTCTGAATTTTCTATCCTCACTCTGTGGTCTTCTAAGAGATGAGGAAGAAAAGTTTTCATACTGTGCAAGGAAATTGATGTAACCTTGTTTATAGTACCTATAAAGCAGCTGGGGCATGACAGCCAGCTGGTTTTGTTCTGCATGAGCCATAATCCAAGCCTTGCATACTGACCCAGACTTGCAAAATACCTGTTTGGATGTTGGCTGCTGACCCTTTTGGAAGGAAGGGACTGCATAGCTGACGTGAGATAATCTCTTTGCATACAGACAGTTCTTCCCAGACACAGGTAGCTGGGCTTACTCAGCAGGAACATAATCTGCTGTTTACATTGTCACTGACAGTTCTGAGCTCTCCCCTCTAAGCTGGAGTACATGGAGATAAAGGGACCAGGTCAAGATTCTGCCTTTCTTGCACGTACATTGTTTCTGGTGGCTCCTTTTAAAGAAAAACATGATTTGCATCACAGTCAAGTTTAAGGGCTTTCTATCAGAATCTCTTTCTGAACTCCAAAAACACAGGTTGCTGTTAGGCATGATGTGTTTCTCTGTGAGTCACAGCTTTTTGGGAGTGCCCTTGACTGAGCTCTATCCCATCTCTCCCCTCAGAATTCTGACTCTTCAGCTGAGATGGGGTTTACATTCTGGGTAGGCTTATGACTGTACCATAGCCATTCTGGTCTTTTGGCTGTGAAATAGAGATGGGTGATAGCCCACCAGAAGGATTCTAAATTCAGGAGAGATGTCAGGAACATGATTCCTACTCTGTGCTGTAGGCAGCACCTGTAAAATCTCTTTCACAGGTCTTTGTTGTGGAAACCTCTAAGAGATATGAGAAGCTCTCTCTTATTGCCAACTATTGTTCAGTGATGGCTTCTAAGTAGTCTATATTCAGTGCCAGATATTTAAGAATGGATTTTTAGGTTTGTATGACAGTTGATTCCATGAGATCTCTTACTGTATCCTGGTACACCAATGACATGCACTGAAGCCTGTATGGAAATGTGCAGAGAAGCAGGAGACTATTTACCTTCCACCTAAAGTTTTTGACAGGTCATTGTCTGTGTGGCTTTTGTGTTTCACATTTTCCTGTCCAGAGACCATCTGTTGGAGTTGCTTCTGCTGTCTGGGGATAAGGCATGAGCAGGACATTATGGCAGGTGTGCAGCAGGCACCTGGGCAGCACAGGGACACCTGCTTTAGGCTGGAGTTCAGAGGATTTGACTCTGAGGTGGCAACACATAGCTCTGATTTCACACTGGTCTGGAAAAGGAACCAGGCAGGATTATTTCCAATTGATGCCTGGCAGGAGGTAACCAGCTCTGGCCTCTGTAACTGTGCTTTGGTTTGGGAAGAACAAAAATAAGTACAAAATTCAGAGGTGTCATTGCACTTTATAAATCTTCTACAAAACATGGAGAGGGCAAATTTTTTTTTATTTTAAGTCTGAAAATTAATATTTTAAAGTAAATTATAAGCTACAGAAATTATTTCTGTGTCAAGGATACCTTGGATACCTAAGTTTTTGGGTTGTATGGCTATTTTATTTGTGCTCTGTATGTTCTCTGTCTTTTATTCAACTCAGAGAGGAAATATTGGGTGACTTCAATGTAATTCTGACTTCAAACAGCACTTGATGACTTACTGTACATTTTGAAACAAATTTCCATTTTTTTCAGGGATCACCATCAACCAAGAGGCGGGGGCAGATGTTACAGCCCATTATTGAAGGTGAAACTGCCCATTTTTTTGAAGAAATTAAGGTAGGTGAAGTGCATTTGAAAAAAATACTTCCCAGCACTTGTAATAGGGAACTGAAATACATCATATTTGATTTGAATTTCTGTTTTCACTTTCAGGAGGAAGAGGAGGAAAGTGATGGTTTGTGTACAGACCTGAATGAAATCTTAAAAACTGCTGCCCAAACACAGCCTGTTCTAAGCCCAGTTGAAAACTCTGAGTCTGATATTGAAGATGGTCAAGAGAAACTCACCCGGGACCTGAGGCTCTCCAGCACCCGAGCTGCTTCTATGTATGGACAATTAAGTGGATAATTTAATTACAGTAGTTGTAATTATTGTAGTTAGAGTCATGATACTAAATCTGTGATGTTGGGTGAAAGGGAGTGACATGTTCAGCACTTCTCAGGAAATGTTTGGATTGAATGAGTGTTCTTTGCTCTGACATGTCTGACTAAGATCTTTTTGTACTCAGTGAATTATTTAGTATCTTCTAAACCTTCTTCAGCCTTACTTGAGTTGTGTAGACAGCAGAAAATTTATACCCCTTTATTAACTGCTAGTTTGTTCTCAATATTTCACTTTCAAACTGACAGCATGTTCCTCATGAGCCAGACAAATAAATTATTAGTGGAGCTAGCTCAGTTGTTTCTGAGGAATTTAAATTCTATTGTACGGCAAACATATTTTTCTTTCACTTGAAATTTTTAGGCCTGAATTATTGGAGCAACTGTGGAAAGCCAGAGCTGAGAAAAAGAAGCTACGTAAGACATTACGAGAATTTGAAGAGGAGTTTTATCAGCAGAATGGAAGGTTTGTTCAGCACTTACCAGATGCTGGGCTGCAGCCTCATTATGTAGCCAAGTGCATTTTCTAACTTTGAATGTTGTCAGCTGGAATCTGTTCTGTTTTGATCTGCTGTGGATAATCTCCTGAGGGAGAAAACTTGATGTTCTTTTAACAGTTCCATTTTTTAAAAATAGCGTTTAAAAAAACCTACTAGAAAGTATGATTTTTTTAAATTTTAAAAACCCCATATTATGTTCTTTAACATAGGGCAGGGAAATTTGCCCATTTGCCTCTTGTTCCAGTAGGTCAGTTCTGGCAGTGGATATTTGCTTTACCAGAAAAGGTTTTTATAATATTTATTCTCCATATAGTTTAGTTCTTTTAGGTTTCTTATTTGAATTTGTTTTGTCATGAATTGTCATGCTCCTAAGAGGTCACTTTCTGGACTGGCAAATGCTGTCACTTGACTGTGCCTTCTCCTGAGCTACAAACTCCTGGAGCACTGGTCACACAAATTCCAGTAATGTGGCTTCATCATGCATTTACTGAATTTGGAACAAAACTCCTTTTGACTTCAATGGCAAATAATTATGTTAATCATATTAATTGATTATTTATTATAGTCCAGTAAGAATAATGCTCTGCTGCCAATTTGTGGGTCAATCTACTTACAGTAGAAAACATAGATTGACTTAAATGTGTCTTTTTCTGTAGTGTTTGTCCTCTGTCTTCATATCCTGTTTGTAAAACTCCCAGGAGAGCTTAGGGCAATGATTATTACCCACTGCTGGAGCAGTTGTGCTGAATAAATTGTGCTGGATTTTTAATTCAGTTTTTTAGGTGATGGCAGTTTTAACTACAATAAACTAAAATACGTCCTGCCTGTTGTTCAGCCTGCAGCTGCCAATAATATTTTCATCTGCCCTAAAATAATCCCGTAGGTGCTTCTGTGTTTGGCTTGCTGCAGGATGGAGGATTTGGTTGAAATGTTGATGTTTTTCTTTTTACAGGAATGTACAGAAAGAAGACCGGGTCCCCATGCTGGATGAGTACAGGGAGTACAAGAAAATCAAAGCCAAACTGAGGCTGTTAGAAGTCCTTATCAGCAAACAAGATTCTTCAAAATCAATTTAAATTATGTTCCTCCAACCTGTTGAGTAACATGCTGTTTCCATATACTACCCCTGTACTTATTGGGTGCTTGTGTTCATGTGTCATGCACTGTTGAAAGAATCCAGTTTGTGCACTTTACTGTGGTGCCACTAGGACGTGTGAAGGGTAAGCAGGTCCTGTCTAGAGAGCAAATAAGGTTTCTGAGTTTGAGACTGCTCTATCCAACTTTAGCAAACACAGTTTCCATCGAAGTTTTGTATTCCAGATGCATCCATCCTGTTCCAAAACAACCATAGCTTTTTTTTGTCTTTAGTATTCAAGAACTTTGAGACTTTTGTTATTACTAACCTTTTGCATTGTTGAAGAAATTATTAATATTGTAATGCTACACCGAACTATTCCTCTTGCCTAAAATATCAGCAAATTAAGGGTACAGCTCTTAATTCTTGGAACACTTAAACAGACTGTAATTCCTTTCAAAGGACTGCTGTGGAACAACTTTGGTTTTTTGGTATTCTAAATTGCACCTGTACACAGTAATAATTAACGTCTATGGATTTTGCTCATTAGCGGTCACGTTTCCTCCTTGATAAAGGTGACAGTGGACAGACCAGAAAGTGACCTTTTCTTAGTGGCTTTTAAACCTTGGAAAACTGAAAAGTTCAATCACATGCTGCCTACAGGACTCATGTCATTGTTGTTCATTTGATCCCTTTTTCGGTTGTTGTTTATCAGCCAGTGGTGACGTAGTGTTTGGGCTGAATTGGATACGGCATCTCCGCTTTCGGAAGATTTGAGGAGCACAGTGACACTGTGGTGTTTGGGAAATCTGCTGGTGCTCAGACTTGTGTGGCTCCACAGAAAGGAGCTGGCTTAGGACAGTTAAAATCCCACTGTTCCTGAAATGAGTATGGTGTCAAGGGCTAAAATCAGTGTAGTTAACACGCACCACAGGGAGAACCGTCGGTTTGGAGTGGGAAGATTACTGCTGTTTATCACGGTTTTGTTTTACAGTTGGAGAATAAAAATACATTATCTAATCCTTACGATGTAAGCAAAACAGTTTATGGGCCTTGCATGATTTAGCTTCAGAGTTGAATCTAAATAATGTTTTGAGTATCACATCTGCTGTGCTGAATGATGATTTAGGGACTAGCTTTGCTCTGCAGCAGCCATCCGCAGCTGTTTCTGATCTGGCAAAATCAAATTGTTCATTTCAGCTGGTGCTTTCTCAGTTGTTTTATTTTTTTTTAATTTCAGTGTATCAGTTTGATTGTGGCCATGTTTTGCATGCACCTACTCTCACTGCATGTTTTTATGACTGGCTAATGTCAACATAGCAATGATTCACTCTGCTTTATGAAAGACCAAAAATGAACTTTCTCACGATGTAAGAAATGGCTCGCAAGTAACCTCAGACTTGCTGTTCTGTCATGAAGCATATGAAATAGGTTGCAAGTAGGATTTTTAGTGCTCAGATTTCATTTGTGTACTGTAGAATACTTCCTGGTTTGTTTTACTCTGCTTGTAGGCATGTAATTTTGGAGTTCAGAAAAAAAAAGCACTAAAACTTTTGAGCACTGGTGGTATGCCTTTTTTTCTTTTCTTTTTTTTTTAACTGCAAAGTGATCTGGGACCTTAGAGAATTATGAGGTTAAAGTAGTCTTTGAGACCATTTACCAATTTTGAGTTCCATTGTGCAATGTACACTTCAGTTCCTTTTCTATCAGTCTGCAGACACGGGTGTATCCAAACATTGAAACTAATGTGTACTGTATAGTGTTGTACATGAATGTTTGTGTTTTATATACCACATGCAAAATGTCAATATGCACTATTTAAATGTTTTAAATAATATATTCCTCCTTTATAATGCTTAAATCTATATGATTCCAATATTTTTATAAGTGAGTGAGTGATCAGACTGGTTCCAATTCAGAATTAACAGCTGCTTTGTGTTTGTTATGCAGTGTTTGGCTGTTTATTCAGTATAGTAGATAAGCATGGCAACAGTTATGCTGAGTGTGTTTTGTGCCATCCTTGTTGAGCAATAAATAAATGGTAGAACTAGGCATTTTGTGATATAACAGTTTTACTTTGGTAAAAGCAAAACCTATATATCTATATGGATATATAGATATGGAATATATATAACTTAACCAGATATAATTGCATTGCTATGTCTGGTGCTCATTGTATAGACTTTTATAATAAAAGTACCTTAACCTTTATTGTCTTGTATCTTTGTTTCTCATCATGCTTTCTCCTCCACTTCTATCTCTTGTAAAGGAGTGCTGAGTCCTTTGCTGCTCCTGTCTGTAGCTGCAGGGTGTTGTGAGGAGGGTCTGAGTTCCACGATGTGCCCTGGTGGTGGCTCGGGTGAAACTGCATCCCCTGGAGCCGTGCTCTGCCCGTGCAGGAGAGGGGCCCCGGCGCTCCTGGGCTGGCTGCTTGGATCCTGGTGCCGGCTGGGCTTCAGCTCCTGCTGGGAGTGGCACGGGAGCACACTGGGAGATGGCTCCTTCCTGCCCAGCAGCAGCAGGGTGGGAGCAGGGAGCTGCCCTGGGACGGTTCACTCACTGCTCTCGGCTGAGCAATCGGTTTGTGTCTGTGTCCAGGAGGATCCCTCATCCCTGGAGTCAGTACTGCAGCAGTTACTGCTCTTTGTGGCCACCAGCACTGCTCTTGCACGCTGCTGTACACAGCAGAGGATGCTTTTCCTCTCAAATAGCCTTTCATAGTATGGTGTGAGTTCATAGAAAGTGGTCAATGTCTTTCAAGCTGACTCCTGTGTTGTATTCTGTGAAAATCCACCTCTCTTCAGCAGGGGCAGAAGAACTCCTGAAGGTGAAGACTCTGCACTGCAGGTAATGGGAACAAGAGACCATCAAGTTGAGGGAGAGGAGGTGGAAGGCAGCCTTGGGCATGTTCTTTGGGTTGGGGCAGAATAACCTTCCCTCTGATCACATTGCCTTTCTCTGAAAACAGGGGAAGGAGATTCTTAGGACATTGGCCTGAAGAATGAGCAAGGTTCCTACTGATCTGTTTTACAATCCCCCTTTTTTCCTTAAATCATTATTTATTCAATGAAGCTTGCTGTGATCAGGATGCTAATAAGGAAAAAAAAATTCCCTCAAAGATGGTTTAGTGGGAACTGCTGCAAATTGATGTGCATTGAACTAAGATATTAATTAGGAAAATAACTGTGTTGAACACTATTAGTTAAAATGGAGGAGAAGCATGTTTTTCAGGGTGCAAAAATCTCAGTTATATTAGGAAAATCTATTACTGGAGAACCAATTCTGAGACAATGCAAGTCTAGAGTTGTCCAAGCCTTCCCTCTTCAAACAGATTTGCCTGAGCCCTTGTGTCACTGCAGGGCACAGAGCTTGCAGGGAAAAGCCAGGCAGGGTGAGGAGAGAGTGTCCTGTGCCCCAGTGGAGGTGGGGGGAGGTTGAGGAGTGCTTGAAAGCTCTTTTGGGAAGTTCTGGGAGAGGAAATGTGTCCAAAGGTTTTGAGGCTCTGTAGGAGAGGGCTGCCAGGAGGAGGAAAGGTTGGAGATGTCAAAGATGCCACACACCTGCTTTTCTGCTGTCAGGCTATTGAGTAATCTGGATAAACAAATCACCAGTGACCTATGTGTTCTGGGACAAGTGTCCTGGGCTGCTGCTGGCAACAGGATCCCTTTGGAGGGGAAGGGAATAGGGGTTTAGTTAGAAAGAGGATGGCTTGGCTTGTCCAGGAGGACAAAGCACAGAATCGGTGACCCCTGGCAGGGCTGCCGTGTGCCCTGTGTTCCCTCACTGTGCTGTGGGGCTGGAAATCCCCTCCTGGGAGCCTCTGAGTGCCTCTGCTTCCTTCTCTGTGACCCTGCTGCTCCACACTGGGATTAGACACAGGGAGAGCAGAGCCTGCGTAGCAGCGTGATAATGCAGGACATTGGCTTTAAAATGCAGCTCCTTGTAGGATTTGTCTAAGATTTGGGGCTTTGGGGCTGTGTGTCATGCAGGAGCAGAGCTGTGCAGCAGCAGAATTTGCCAGGGCAGGGACGGGGGGTGCCAGCCCCGGCTTTTCCCCTGGCACTGTCCGGATGGCGCCTGGACAAGTTTTCCCTCTCCTGCAGCTGAGTCCTGGCGATAAACGGACAGCAGAGAGTGCCCCAGAGCCTGCGTAGCAGCGTGATAATGCAGAGACTGCCTGGGGTGCACAGCCTTTGGCCTGCCCGGAACGCGTCCCTCGGGCTGCGGGAATAAAGGGGTTGAGGAATGCAGAGGATGTTCCGGGAATTCCGGCTGCTGCAAGCATGAGGCGAAGCGCCCTCTGGTGCCGGCAGCGGTGAGCTGAGCCAAGGACAGAGATTTGGGGATTTTCCTGAAAGCTTAAATTGATCCTTTTTTCTCTGACGGTAACAGAGAGCTGCGGTAGGACTTGTTGAGAGATTAGCATTAACCTCGGCAGCTGATCTGAACGGAGCAAGGCTCGGGGAAGGGAGGGCGGATGCGAGGCAGCAGGTCCGGGATGCTGCCAGGCTCGGGATGTGCCCTGGTCACACAGCCGGGTCTCAGAGCTGCCCGAAACAAGGCACGGGAGTTGATTCAGGCATTGGTGTCTCCAGCAGGCAACTGTGACTCCTTTTGTATTCTTCAATTTCCAAAATGCAACCAGCAGTTTCTAAGATTACAGGAAAGAATAAAGCTGCCTTTTCCTCAGCACTGTCTCCATCTCCTCAGAACTGCACCTGGAAGACTCACAGAAAAACCCAGAAGCAGTGCTTATTTATACATTTATTGACAGTCCTGCTCCTCTTGTCCAGAAATAGGAAAAAAGAGGTGGGTAGTTGTTTTTAGTTAAACTGTGTGACCAGTCTGTTACCAGCTGAGCTCAGACATTTTGCTGTGCCCTCTTTCCTGAAGCTTTACTAAATCCTTTCCTCCCAGAGGGCAACTGTTGTCAGCCAGTATAAAAGCACTTAAAGTATCTTAAAGTCAGTGACTGCGTGCAGTTCTTCTGCCTCTCGGGCTGTCGCTCAGTGAGGTTTCAGCCAGGGCTGCAGCTGCCTGGGGATGGGAACATCTGCAGGAGCAGACCGCCCCACCCTGCTGGAGTGCTGCTCTGGAGATGTCGCTCTGAGCTGTCACCGAGGCCCTTCCTTCCATTCCTGTAGCTTTGATAACTCCAAATTCAACACCAGAGGGATTAAAAAAAAAGTCTCAAGCAAAGCCAGCATGGCTGACTGGGGCACCAGTAACAATATCACTCCTGTAGGAAGAGATTCTTGCAGCTTTGGGGGGAAAAATGTTCCACATCTGGCTGAAAGTAGATTTTCCTTCTGGCTCTTCCAAAAAGACAGGATATAGAAATACACATTTTTTTTCAGATGGGAGAGAGAGGGCAGGGATTGTTGTTCAGTAATGTTTACAGCCAGCCTGGGGGCTTTTCCCTTTCTTCTTGCAGAAGTGATTTTAAAATAAAAATATGTTGTACAGACACAGACTTACTCCAGTGATGGAACTGGAGCAAAGATTGCTGGAAACCTTTTAGCAAAGCAAGGGGAAATTGCAGTAATGTTTCTTCTTGCTGTAGATGCAGTCGGTGACCCAATAGATTGCTGTGAAACTTGTTTGTTTTCCATACATCTGTTTCTGGTTAAGGTTTGGGGAAATGTCCAGCTCACAACTTTATACAACCACTAAAACTCGCTGATCTCGCCCTGCTGCCAATTCTGCTGCTGCAGTGTATGACCTGGCCTGAACAAGCTTTCCTTTGACTTTATGGGCATAATTGGTGATTTTTCTTTATTTATAGGTTTAGCTTCTGCTATTCCTGTGGTGTTAAAAATAGTATCCTGTGGAGAAATAGCTTTTGTAAGTCACAGTGTGGGCAAATGTGACTCCTTTTGTATTCTTCAATCTCCAAAATGCAACCAGCATTTTCTAAGATTATCAATTTCCAAAATGCAACCAGCAGTTTCTAAGAGTGCAGGAAAGAATAAAGCCTACCTTTTCTTCAGCACTGGCTCCATCAGTTTGGTCCCAGAGGGTCCTGGTTAGGAACCAAGTTAATTCCTAATTTTGGAGAAGTATGCCCTCTTGCAGGAAAGAATAAAGCCTACCTTTTCTTCAGCACTGTCTCCATCAGTTTGGTCCCAGAGCACCTGGTTAGGAACAAAGGTAGTTCCTAATTTTGGAGAATTATGCCCTCTCTATCCAGAGGTCAGCATATGTATTTGCAAATAAAAATGCAATTAAATTAGGTGTGAAGGCAGTCCTGAATGAAGGTCAGAACATTTTGCCTCCTTCTGCAGTTAAGTAGTCAATTTTCATAGCTTTTGGCTACAAAGCTATGCCTGCCTTCCTCTGTTACAGCCAGGCTGTCTGTACAGGTCATACCTGGCTAACACTGGGTCTAGGAAAGGCTGAGTTTAGGGAGGCTCTTTGCCTGTGGTGATTTCCCAGCTGCTCCAATGCAGACAGCTTCCCACGTGCAACATTTTTTTTAGATGAGCTTGGAATTTGCGTGGCCCATGTTCATGAGGGGGAGGTAATTTTAAACCCCTCTGGAATCTTATAAACAGAATTCTCCCTTTGAGCTGCACCTTTGCAACTCACCCATGGAAAGGTAAAAGTGAATATTTATGCTGTGCTGAGGAGCACAGTGATTCCTGAGCACAGAGAAAGGGAATCTGAGCCAATACTTTTATCCAGGGAAGGAAGATGTTGACAGCATGTTTACAACGTGTTGTAAAGAACTTACCAGGATGCAAGGAAACAGCAATCTGGAGACATGGGCATCAGCCAGCAGCTCTTCCTTTAGCAGGGAGCCTCCTCCAGGGCAGGAGATGCTGGAGGCAAGGGCAAGGATGGATCCTGAGTGAAAGCAGGAGCCAGGGAAGCTCCAGCCCTGCTCCCTGCCCTCTCTTCAGGCTCTCATTCTGCACGGGGAAGACTGGATTGGCTTCAAAAGATGGCTAGATTTGAAGAACCTGAGCTTTTTGGGTGTTTTGTCATAGGCTGTATATATGAGACTTTTCTGGCCAAAGCTCTCTTGTTGGTGCTGTGGCAGCTCTGGCCTTGAGCTGTGTCACACCTCACACACATCCCAGTTGTGCTGTGCCAGCTCTGCTCTGCTCCAGCACTTCCCTGCCCTGCCAGGATTCAGGCCAAAACAAGCAGGGTGGATAAAGAGTAGGGGGGACACAGAGCCCCAGCAAGGCCAGAAAGGGGCCCTGCAG